TCCTAACAAAACTGTCATTCAATCAGCCAGCGTCCTGTTCTGCAGACAGATCTGGAGCCTTTTATTATGCATCTATTTTGATTTTTTGGGAACACCACCATCCAATTGGCCACATACAGATAAGTTAATTATAGACATTAAGGCCAGAAGGAACTACCAGATCATCTGGTCTGACCTCTGCACATCACGACCCAGCTACCCCTGCATTGAGCCCAGTAACCTCGATTAGACCAAAGTATTACAGCACTCTGGAAACTAAACTGTTCTGTGCCACAGGTAGAGAATACGAGGGACTGGGGTTCACAAGTGTCCAAAGCACCTGCAATGGCAGGGATTGATTCTGAGAGACCCAGATGAACCTGGCAAGCAACCCACACCCCATGCTGCAGAGGAAAATGGGTGTGTGTGGGGGGGGGGGAGTGGGGGAGGCACAAAACAAAACCCCTCCCATCGCCTCTGCCAATCTGGGGGAAAATTATTTTTTGGCCCTGAGCATGTGAGCAAAACCCACCAGCCAAGCATAAGAGAGAGAATTCCCTGTACTACCTCAGTGTACAGGCCACCCTTCCTGGTGTCCGATCTCCACCTGTAGCCATGTCTGATGTTTCAGAAGAAGGATTTAAAAAAAAAAAAGACCCAGAATATGTCAGTGAGGAAAAATTTCCTTCGTGACCAGTGCTTAATTTGTAAAGAAAGAGGTGTCAGGGATCAAGCAATTTTTTTTACTTTCATAACTGACGTGGCAAGCCCAGAAGTGCCGGCGCTATGAACTGTCAAGCCTAGAGGTGCTGTGGCTCAGCGCTGGCAAGCCCTGGCATAAATCAAGCACTGTTTCTGACCCTTGCAGGTGTCCAGCTGAAGAACTAAAGCATGAGATGCAGGACATAAGAGAGGACCGGAAGAGAGCCCTTGGGCCACTGAACCCAAATTCCTGCTGTCACAGTAAACCACATCATACCATACCACTCATAAACTTACTTCTATCTTAAAACTAAGTAGGTTTTTTGCAGGCACTACTTTTGGGAGGCTGTTCTAGAACCTTATTCCTCTGGTGGTTAGAAAACTTCTTCTAATTTTCAACCTACATGTTTTGTTTTTGTGTTTGTTTTTTGTTTTTTTTAAACAAGTCACTTCATTGGATGTAAGTTGTTACAAACACAAAGAAACAAAGGTGTAATTTTTTGGTACAGAATGACATTATCCAACAGTAGATGCATGCACTGCTGGGCAGCAAGCTAGGAGACCTACTGAAACCCATCTGTGGCCTATGCTGAGGCTTTAGTTCTCACTGTCACTGTCCCCCAGGGTGTGTTTGTCAAAGAGGTACTCTGCCATCCCATATTTGGGTGCCCCCATCTTGCGCAGGTTGGTCACATGCTCACCCAGTTCTTTGATGGCCTTCGCCTGCTCATCCAGGTAGTGGGTTTCAATGAAGTCACACAAATGAGGGTCATTCTTGTCAGTTGCTGGCTTGTGCAGATCAGGGAGTGACTGGTTCACATTCTTTTCCATGTATTCACAGGCAGATTTTACTCATTTCTTCTAGTGTCAACTTTCTCCTTTAACTTAAATAGCTCTTCTCCATCCCCAGTGTTTACACACCGGATATATTTGTGAAGAGCAATCATATCACCTGTCAGCCTTCTTTTGATTAGGCTAAACAAGCCAAGCTCTTTTAATCTCCTCTCATAAGATGGGTTTTCCATTCCCCTGATCATCTTTGTTAGTTTTCTTTGAATATGGAAATAAGTTCTTTGACAATTCACATTTTTAGGGAGGGGAGTGGTCACTTTTCTGCATGGGAAAGGAGAGCCCAAATTAATGTAGCTGTGTGGAGAGAAATGATTCTACCTAGAATCGCTTCCCAGTGAGCTGAACCCTGGAAACGTGTTTTGTTTTACAGATCATTGTGAATGGCTCTATTTATTTATTTATTTATTTATGTAGGCAAGTCTGCCAAACACAGTGGCTTTGTATGATTACAAAGCATTTGGATGGCCGGCACTGTAGGAAGATACATAGATACTGCAGTAACAAGGGTTATAGGAAAGCCACAAGAGCAGTATTGTAGTTGTCTAGATCTACATTTTCAAGAGAGGTCACTGATTATGAATGCCAAGCTTGTGGCACTTTAGGCCCTGACTTTCAGAGGCGCTGAGTGCCTACAGCCTCCATTGCTTTTAAAATGGAGTGATGGGTGGCCACTGTTTCTGAAATTCAGATCAAAGATGTCTCATGTTAGGCACCCGCAAGTCAATGGCTACTCTGAGAAACATGAGCCTAAGTCCTGAGTGCAGCCAATGCTAGTGAAATCCTTTCTCAAGCTGCCAGTTTATCAGCCTTGAGGATGAACCCAGTCTACCTCCCTTTGAAAATGATTTCTTTCATATACAGTTGCATTGTGGAACAGAAGCAAATCTGGGGAATGCTGGGTATGACTACTGAGCTGTCTGATCCTTTTGGCATACTGGTCCAGCTTTAGATCTTCAGTGAACAGTAGATGTGAAGGTGATTAATTCTTCACACTTTGGTCTCTGGCTCTGTTCACTTGCATATATGGATTGGATCTGTATCTCTGATCCTGTTTGCCTGCATGTGGGCTGTCTTTTGATGTGACCATCTCAGATACTTCATGCTTGCTCCTCTTTTACTGTTATATGGGCTATTGTTCCTTTACTAGAGTGTAGATCCATTATTGTTCACAAACGTACGGATTCTATGGATATCAGTGGTTTCTGACCCGTGGCCTGTCACATTCTCTGTTGTTCAGTTTTATTACTTTTTTTTTTAATGATTCAACAATAAATCCACTTGGTGTTTAATAGCTAAAGACAGCAGTGTCTAATTCAGGCTTCCTTTTCCAGGTATTACGCAGGCTTGCTGTTCGTTCCAGAGGCCTGTGAGAATGCTGTGCTACAGAGGTACTGTCTGTGCTTGCCAGCCAGCCCTTGCAATGCATTGGAAGTCTTAGATTTAGCTCCCTTGTAGTGGCCTTGTCTTGTGTTCCAGGAGAACTAATCACTGCAGATCCCCTATGTGCAATCCCATGTAAGCCATGTGTTCTGAAATGTCCTCTTTAACTTCTGCCAGCATCCTCTAGTTAGAACTTGACTCTTACTGTAGAAGACTACTAGAGGCTTAGCTAGTACGACCTCTAAATGTGACCTTTCTTTCTAACGCGTGGGTTCTTACTCAGCTCAGAATGGGAGCTATGTCTTGCATCTGACTGTGACCTTGTTTCACAGGAACAAACTGCCATTGTGCTTGTGGGCTGGGTTTGAAGTTATGGAATTCGAGTGGGCTGAAAAAGGCGACATGCCCACCTCTCATTAGAAAGTCAATGGATATAAATTCTTTATAGTGACCTTTGAGAACTACTCATTTGAATCCTGCAGTAGGCAATTGCACTGGAACTCCTAGAAGAAGTGGCTGAGGTTGGAGAAGCACTTCTGGGTGGTGTCTGGTCTTGCTTGAGGGTTACTGGATTGAGGCCTGGTAGATTAGAAAGCCGTGCTAATGAGTACAATATGGCTGCTTCTATGAACAAATCAACTTGAAGGGAAGTCAGATATAATTGTGACCATCTAAGCAGATAATTTATTTAAAAGGCTTGTGAATGTGATGTCTTCTGTTTTCTGCATTGGGTGTTTCTGATGATGTATGGCAGGATTAGAACAGGGAAGAACATCATTGTCTGAGTCGTCTTGGCCACCTGCTGAAATGTCAGGTTTTTTAGATATTAATGCAGAAAAATGAGCGAGATTTTCCTGACTTGAAGCTGCCTGAGGTAGAAGAACAGGGCACAAGCTCATCTGTCTTAGTATCTCCTTATCTTTGGAAGATTAAGCAAGTGTCTAGGCAAATAAATGCTTCTTTTTGGCATCTAGATGTCAGTATGCGTCCAAATGTGGATAACCTATTAAAGTGCCCATATCTGGGGAAAATGGAGCTCACAAAGTCCAATTTCCCACTGATACATTGTTGGAAAATCACGATTTGAAAAGGAAAGGTTCCCTGCTTCAGTGCTGCCCTATACGCTGTGATGACCTGTTCTTGCATCATGTTAGCCAGGTGGAAACTGCCTTTAACTCTTAAGCATTCGATTCAGAGGTATTTCTGCACCTAGGATAATATCAGAGAAGAACTAGTGTAAAGTGACAGATTTATTTTTGTAAAGTGATTGGACCTATTAAAATAATTTACAGGGAGCAAAGAAGGTTTCCTGGAACAAGAAGAACTTGAAGGACTGCTAGTGGGAGACTCCCAGGCATTGGAGGTGGCTTGATAGACAGCATCGTGGTAGACAATGAGAGGATTGGGATGAGGGGGAAATGAGAGCAGTGATCATGTTGGAGTGAGTTTATAGGGATTATGGGCTCAATTTATCCCTTTAGTGGAATTATGCTAGTGATGTACTGACTTTTTTAAAAAAACCTCGGAAATGCTCCCATCTTTCCTCTCCCGTCTTTTCTGACCAAAGTGAGTAGGAAAGGGACCCAGCCACTCTTCCGTGACTTGAAATACACAGCATCAGGGGATGCTAATTCTTCTAAGTATGCTTAGACAGCTCAGTTCTTCTTCAGAGCTAATAATAACTTAGGTTTGCATCATGGCTTCTATCCCAAATGACCTCAAAGCACTCTGCACATTATACATACACAGAGCATGGTTGAAATGCAGCCACCTGTGGAATGGAGCACAATAAATCAACCTGCACATAAAATGCTAATACAAGAAGGGAAATCTTAACCCAGGACTCCAGGGGAAATCCCAGACTCTTACACAAAGAGGTCCTGGGCTCTTTGTATGTCCACAGAGGACAAAGAGGTTTTTAAGGGCTCATCTGAAACACGCACATGCAAACAACTGCATGGTGCACAATTTACTTTGGAAGGATTAAGGACTGAGTCGACCCTGCTAGGTGGGGTGAAATGAGCTGCATCGCCTGGGAGATCCTCTGCTGGAGTTCAGGCGTTGACGTGCTTTCCTTCCTATTCTAGGTTTAACTGGAGCAGTCTGGTCCCCCTGCAGCTGTGGGGCAGAACACTGGGCCTGCAGGCGGAGGATTCTGAGTTCCGCCTTGAAGGCATGCCCTTCCGCATCTTCGGGGGCTCCATGCACTATTTCCGAGTCCCCAAGGAATACTGGAGAGATCGCATGGTTAAGATGAAGACATGTGGCTTGAACACCCTCACCACGTAAGTGCTACCTTCACTAACAGGGTCCTGCAGAGTGGCTATTTAAATAAGTGGGGATTTTGCCATTGACTAGAGCAAGTCCTAAAAGGTTGGTTTCTTTCCCTGCTGCCCTGCACACGTTTTCCTGCCAGCAGGTTATCGGCCTTCCCCTGAATATGCTATCCAGCTAGCTAATTCCTTGCTTCCCTGAACGTTCTCCAACTGATGGCTACCAGATCCAGTCCTGCTGGTGGCTCTGAGTCCCAAGGGCACCTCCTGTTTGTTCCAATCTTTCTGCTGTGCAGCAGCAGCCCCTACCAACCAGATGTCTCTTCCTTGTTGTTAGCTGCTTCTGCAGGCTCCAGGCTTGGACGTCTGTAGGAACATCTGGAAACCAGAAGAGCTAGTACTTAAATGATGCAAGAGCTGTCCATGGAGAACCAGTAAGCACATGTTTGAGAACTACTGATCTCGACCAATATCATGTGGGGTCTTGAGCCGATGCTGGATTTGGGCCTGTTTAATCTTGCTCTTAAACTGATACCCTCAGTCCTGCATGGAGCAGACAGATTGAGCTGTTGTCTTTGGGAGTCTGGGGGGTATTGTGCAGTGTGCCCTTTGTGTTCTGTCCACAAGGAGCAAACAAGGCCCTGCTTGACTTGTGACCTCTACTCTGTTAACTACCTTCAGTTCTGCCAGTCCATAAATCTGACTCTGACCTTATCTAAGATTTACAATATACCTCAAAAACCTGCACAATTAGTTCTGGCTTTCCAGGTATGTCTGAGGGAGTCTGATGTGTCTGGTCACTCAGCACTGACACAGTGGCAAGGCAGGTCCAGGCTCTGCAGTTGCTAGTTAACATGATAATGGTTTGGAAACATGCTTCAGCCTTGCCAATGAAGAGATATCTGGACACCAAAGACTAAATTCCAAGGTGAATCTAAACCTGTCCCTTCAGTGTGAAAGTCACAGCAACTTAGACTCCTTTTCACTTCATTACTTAGACTCCCACTCTGGCCTCCCTCCGTACTGATCCTCTGAACTTGATCCAGCGAGCCTAAGGGCATCTGAGCTGGTGTAAGTCACATACTAAAGGGCTGGAAGAAAGAAATGTAGGAAGAAAAGCATCTAACAGGAGAGTGTAAGAAGTGGGGTATAAAGACAGCCCCACCCTACTCTAACTGCTGGCTCCTCAGAGTGAAGTAACATCAACATATACCCCTTTACACAGGTGCAAAAATAGTTGTAAGCTTGCCTGACTCTGTGCCTGGCTAGAAGTGGGTGTGCCCAAGAGGGCAGTGTATTGAGGAAGGGGAAAAGGGCCCACAGTCCTAGCCTCACTGTTCAGTGTGTGAATTCCCAGTCCCTCGCTCCGACTCTCTGTGTTTTCAGGTATGTGCCGTGGAACCTTCACGAAGCAGCGAGTGGGAAGTTTGATTTCAGCGGAAACCTGGATCTAGAGTACGTGGTGCAATAAGTTGTGGGGAGATGTTTTGTTTTTTTTTACTCTACTGCTATCACTAGTTAGAGTGTAGGGGGCAGGGCGGGGGGTGTGGGAGACAAGAGTAAGAACAATGAGCTTTGTGTGTTTGCATTTTTGTTTGCACCCCAGGTGGCTTGTTGGATTTGAATGTGATTGTACTTAGAATAAAAATACATCCCTGATCCTGTCTAGTTGTAGGTTCGCTGCCTCTCCCTGAGTAATAACTTTTTAGGATGCAATTCCTGTTAAGGAAGGATAAAGTTGACTGCTAGAGAAGTGTTTCCATAGTAAGTGTGTGCTGCATAGATGGTCTTATAGGGACATGTAGAAAAATGTTCAGATCGTTATCCCCTTCCCTCTCCTCACCAAATAACATCAGGCAGTCCTGGTTTGTTTAGTGCCTCCTTCCTAGGCCTCCAATGAAGACTATGCTAGAAGACTGTGGTTTGACACACTCCTTGGTTTTGGTTTCAAGGATAGGGTCAGGAACTCCTTTCACAGTTGATTTCAGCAAGTTTCAAGGCTGGTTTGCTTGTCAAGCATGGAGAAAGATGCAGGGTTGGTTCTAAGGTTTGCTCTAGATAACATCTATAACAGGGTTCTGACACATTCCCTGACCATATCATTGAGGCAAACTCTATTGAGACCCTGCTCACAGCAACCATGTTCAGCGACTGTTTTGTTGAGCATGGAGCTGTTCCCTACCCAGATATCCTCTTGGGTAACCCCGTCAGTGTAGCCTAGTGGTTTAGAACAGGTGGCTGGGAGTTGGGAGAACTGGCTTGATTCTGCCACTGACTCTGTGTGACCTTGAGCAAAGCACTCAGTCTGTTTTGTGCCTTATCTTTCTCATCTGTAAAATAGGAACGGAAGAGAAGTGCCAAGTAATAGTATCTTACTAGACACTTCTAGGTTGGAGCAGGTATGCAAAAATCCACAAAAAGTTTGTAGTTAGTCTGTGTTTGTGTTGGGGGTTTATTTGCATGCTTGTTAATATGTAACAGGCCCATTATACATCTCTGTTCTCCTTCCAAAAGGCCCCTCCCCCCATATGCTCTTGCCCTTCCCCTTCCGTCCTCAGCAACAGTGAGGGTCATCCATTGACTCTCGGCATCACCCCCACTGACTTGTCCTTGAGTGGAAAGTCGGGGGAGAGTGGTGATTGTGCTTGGTGCCATCTGTCCAGTGATGAATCATCTCTCTCCTCTGGGAAGAGGCCGCTCAGTTCGCTCTTTGGGCAGCCTGCCTTCATGGTTAGGTCAGAACCACTCTGTTCTGTGGAGTCAGGTGGTGGGCAGTGCCAGTTAAATGGAATAATGATTGATCATGTGACTATTGATCATGTGACTGCATTAAGCCTCTGTGCCCACTACCCCTCTAATTTTTTGAGGCCTTTGAAATCCACTGATTTGGATTCACCTCCTATTGTTGCTACATCAAACTATTTTCTTTGACTTTTCTGCCTAGACAACATTGTCATGGGTGCATTAGGAATGCACAGAAACCAGGTGGTTTTTTAGCGAGACAATAATTAATGTTGTCTGGATCTCCTAGGGCCTTCCTTACCTTGGCAGCTGAAGTTGGACTGTGGGTTATTCTGCGTCCGGGACCCTATATCTGCTCTGAATGGGAACTTGGTGGTCTTCCCAGGTAAGCGTATGCATGGTAGTCACATGGATTTGGGTTCTTTGTTTGACTCAAATGCTCAGGCATTCAGCCCTTAACTTGAGACAGACTGTGTCTATTTTGCGTTTGTAAGACCATAGGAACACACAAGCTCTCTGGGTCATGCAGCCCGGCCTCCTGCAGAGATTCAGAAATAATGTTAGGAAATGATTAAATGTTACAGCCTGTGTATTTCGAGGAGATGGTCATTTCTCATAGCAGAAATATTCCCACTCAGTCATTGGTCCTTTCAGAGCATTACAAACAGTAGACCTGAGATTAGAGTTCTGCTGTGAACAGTTTTTTGGTGTTTTTTTAAGGCTGTGGTGTGTAATGGTTAGAGCAGAGAATTGGCATTAGGAGATCCATGTTCTATCACTGACTCACTGTGTGACTTAGATTTACCTTCCTTATGCTTCAGTTTCACCGTCTACAAAATACAGATAATGATATTTGCAACTTGATATAAGGATTCATTCACCCCAGGGCTCATTTTAATAGCCCTATAGGGACACACATACGATGTGGATGGGAGCAATAATGTCCCATGATTCCCTCATCCCTCTATTAGAACTTCTTTTAAAGCTCTGATCTCCTGAGTACTTTTTCACCCCCCACAAAACCTCCACTTACAAGCAACTCACTAGATCTGTGAGGCTGTCACGGCCAGCGGCAGCTCAGGCTGGTTTATAAGGCTGGAGTCAGCACATTTACCAGTTATCCCGCTGCCACTGCATAAGTGGAGTCTCATGTTTACAGCAGCCTGGTAATGGTAAGAGCCCGTGAGAGTCAAATCTAACCCGTAAGCACTGAGAATCTCTCCTGGTTACCAGATCCCAATGGGACAGCTGGCAACATTCAGTCCCACTTGTTTATCTTTCCTTGTCTTGCTCACCAGAGCTTTAACCTCAGTGGAGGAGCTTGACTCAGATGAAATTTTGGGATGATCTCTCCCCACTGTCTCACTTTTGCTGCAACTCACGCTCTCCTTGCTCTCAGACAAAATGAGTTCAGAGTGTTTTGGCTATTTAATGCAATAAGAGTAATCTTATCAGGAGACTGAGTTTGATTAAGGCCCCTGGGGTATCCTCCTGCAGGGATGTGAGGCTTTTGCATAGACACTTCGCCACAACATGCAACAAACTGTTTTGTGCAAGCCTGGGGGCCCAGGTGGTAGCAGGATGTGCTGCCACCTGGGAATCAAAATTAAAGTAGAGTTTTGAGATTGTGAAGGTCTTAGAGATTCTCTCTTGTCCCATCCTATCACCATCACTCATGATGGCATAGCTGCTTGTGATAACAGGAAGCAGTCGGTTAGAAATAATATTAGTCGAAAATGACTGCATTATTAGCTGATCCCAGGTCACTGTTGTAACATATTTTGCACTCATAGAGCCCCTTTTGCCTGATAAAGTAATAGTATCCCCATTTTACAGTTCAGGAAACTGAGGCAAAGCATGGTTGTGACTTAGCCAGAGCCACACAGTTGCAGAGTGGGATGTAGAACCCAGAAGTTCTGACTCTCGGATCCTTGCTCTTACCATTAGCCCAGGCTTTTTCCTGTAGGGACAGGCAATGAGCAGAGTTACTGAGATTAGATTGTAATAGCTCTGCAGTATACTGCACTTGGATAAACGTTGATTGTTCCTTTGTTATCCCAAACAAACCAATTACATCCTGTAAACCTGCACTAGAAGTGAAGGGACAGATCATCTGAAAGGATGCTGTGTGTTGGGGTGGTGATTTGGAGGTGTTGGAAGCTTGGTTTAGGATGTATTTTTATGAAGGAGCATTGGTTGTAAGAATGCAGAAAACTCAAGAATACTCCTCTTCTTCCCTGTCACTATAGACTATGGAGGTCATAGGCTGCTCTCACAATTCACCGCCACCTCCTGTTGTCAAGAGCATATTTTTTTCCACCACTAATGGCTCAAGAATGATCCAGCTCCAAAACAAAGGACCTCTTTATCTTCTGAGATATAAGGCTTAGCCCATGAGGTATCATGAATGTGAATTGGAATGGGACTGAGTCTCCCAAGTTCATATTCCAAAGTACTGGGATGACAGAGGGGGTGACGTGTGGTTAGAATCCAGAATCTTGATTTGGACTCGTTAACAAATGTAAGTGGAGGTTTGCATTGTAAATGTACTTAATGGGATTATTTTCAGGAAAGTGATTCTGTAAAAGTGTTCCTTTCTTACATGGAACATGCTCAAATGCCCCATGGGATTCCTTTGCCATTCGTGGCATAAATGTCTGTGTAATGTTGCTCTCTGCTGCTAAATAGCTGCTGTGTTCACCTCCCGTGTCTCCTCCACCCTGCAGTCATGGGTGAAGGGATTTTAACTCACATGCCCCTTCTGTCATAAAAGATGCTATATACATGTAAAGTGACTGTCATTATTCAGTACATCTGCTCCTTCTATGTCTTTGAGTCATTGCTGCTGAACTGATGGCACAAACAAGCATTTTCCTGTTAGCGCTGCAGAGAGCACAGGGAGAGCAAACTGGCTTCTCTTCTGCCTCTTTTATTATCCACACTAATGTCTAAACTTCTGGTGCAGGATCTTTATTATTGGGATTGATGTTTGAAATAGAGATAATCCAGCTTGACATTGAGGTCCCAAATGCTTCTGCAGAACTATTGCTAGGAAAAAGCCCTTTTGACTTGGAAACTGTGTGTGTTTTGATCTGGGAGTAGGTTAAAGAGAGAATAAAGCAAACTTTACTATGTGTCATTTAATGAGTCGCTCGAACTGCACTTTGGCTACAGTTAATGTGAATCCAGGATAAAATCGCTAATGTCTGTGTACATGTGTGTGTGAAGGCACAGGGTAAAAGTACAGTCCATGATTATGTCCTGAATATATCTAGCTTAGAGTCTGATACTACCATGTGCTTTCTGAGAGATGTAGAGTACCTTCAGCTCCCATCTAGCTCCCTGGGAGCTCAACACCTCTCAAGAAGCCCTCAGCACCTTGCAGGATGGAGCTGTTGCTGAGCCAGATGACCTAAAAATGGCAATTCTTTCTGCCTGAACTCTGTGATGTGTAAGCGAGTGGAGTAATGCATGCGGGCTGGAGCAGAAGTGGGTCCCCAGTCTATTTTCTCTGCTGCTGCTTCTGCTGAACAGTTTCTGGTTATTCTAGGAATCTCCTTCTATTCTCTCCTAGCTGGCTACTCCAAGATCCTGACATGCAACTGAGAACAACCTACAAGGGCTTCACGGAGGCCGTGGATGCTTATTTTGATCACTTGATGGCCAGAGTGGTCCCTCTTCAGGCAAGTAAGATGCCTCACTGTCTCTTTCCAGGACTTGGCTGCTGTAAGCATTAGAGTCCACTCATCCAGCGGCAACAGGGTAAACTGGCAAACGTGCTTACTCCACCTTATGAACCAGCCTAGACTGCAGCTGGCCATGGTAGTCTCACAGATCTAGTGAGTTGCTTTTAAGTAGGCTCTTGGGGGGCAATCCTAGCTCATCTTTTACTGAGTTCTATGGAGGAAGAAGGTGTGCAGAAGGATGAAGCTTCCATTAGATTACTCTCTTCCTCCCCACCCTCCTTCTCCCCACAGCAGTGACAGTGCAGGTTTTTCCTAGCTTGGAAGGCACAGGCTTTTCCACCTCAACTGTTGAAGTGTGATTTCCCCTCTCCTCCTCATAGGCATTCGTTTCTTGAGCCCAGGGCCGGTATAACCCCAGGTTCAGCTGGGTTAGAAACCCTGAACCTGGTGATCAGCTTCTCCCGTCTCTCCCTACAGTACAAGAAAGGGGGCCCCATCATCGCGGTGCAGGTGGAGAATGAATATGGTTCCTACGCCAAAGACCCTCAGTACCTGACCTACATTAAAACGGTAACGTTGGCATTCCCACTCTTGAGCCTGCTCTTTAGCTTCCTCCTTTCCTGCACTCCTACAGACCTCTGCTGATACCTGACCACACCTGGAGAACATCAGCAGGGTCAGTGTCTGATCCAGCTAACCTCCAATACCCATGCCCCTGTAGCAGGTGAAGTGATCCACCCTGTATCTCGATGGGGGTTGGGAGTGGGGAAAGAGATCCTGTTTAACCCCTTCACTGCAGACAAGAGCCCATGTATGCTGACTGTTTGCACTCCATGAGCTCTTCCCAGAAACACAAGGATACCCACCTGGCCCTGGGCAAGGCTGTCCCCTGGCTGTGCTCACTCCTATTCTCCAGATCAGAAGCAGTTTTGTGATCGTTCTGAGGCATGCCTGATCCAATGCCTTCCCTGGGAGGGAGGTTTCTGTGAGCTAGAAACAAGCCTCCTCATAAACCTCTGTAATCTGGAGTTCAATATTGGCCAGGCAGGCTAATTTGACTAAGGCCTCCCTCATCCTCATCAAGCAGAGACCGTGACCCAGTCTGCGCTTCTGAGCTGGGCACAAAGAGCTGGTGTGGACTCAAGGAGGCTGTGTTATCCTGGTGAATCGGATATGAGCCATGCTGACTTGCTTACCTGCTGCTGGCACAGTACCCATGCCAGTGCAAACAATTAACTGGGGCCACTTTATAGCTCAGAGGGTCATCTTTCCGTGAGAATCTAAAGATCCTGTTATATATGAGAGGGAAGTTATTTGCTCAGCATCCTGCTGTGTGTGTGTGTGTGTGTTATGGGGGAGGTGTTCTGTTTTCAAATGCTTGTGCTGCAAATATTTAAGATTCAGAGTAACTATTAAGACCTTGGGTTGGGTGAACGAAGACTGACCTCCTCTCACACATTCCTTGGCTTCAAACAGGTGGCCCAGTCCTCTTTTTGCCCCCTAAGACTCCACTCCCTAGAGTATTGTGTTTACAGGCCCAGGTTTTCACCATAAACTCAGTGTGTCCCCTGCTTTTCTGCCATGGCATTGACAGCTCCTGCTTTAACCTTGCAGGTATTTCAGCCCCCTTGTGCTAGAAGCCAGTTGGAGAGTTAACTGGATTAGTTCTGGCTCAGGTCATCTTATTCCTCACAACTAGCCTGCAAGTATTCAACTGAAGGAGTCACGTGGCGAGGTTCCTAATCCTTTTTGAATGATTCCCCTCCTGCGCTAACTCAGTCTTCACCTCCTTGGAGGGTTAAATGTGACATGTCCCGGTTAACAGGTTAGAAGGTTGATTTCTAGCCTGAACAAAAATTGTGAGAGCCATTTAAAAAAGTCTGTCGAGTTCACACTCCTACTTCTTATATCAAGTGATGAGCATGTAAGTAAATGGCTGTTTGGGTCCTGTACCACTCTGGCATGGAGATGGCACTAATTGCATTGCTCTGAGATCAGACTTTACAATTTACCAGCCCGCTTGCTCACTTTTACGATGACAATGATGACGATGAAAGAGCTAGTGATATTTCACTCACCTGTCAAAACAAATTACATGCCCCAGATGAGCGGGTGAATAGAATTTTGCAAGGCTATTTCGTTCTGGTCTGATATTGTGTGTGATACCTCCTGTCTGAGGCTGTGTTGTCTAGTGGTTAGAGAGGAGGGACTAGGAAATCAGGACTCCCGGGTTCTGCTCTTGGCTTTGGATGAGAGTGTGGTATAGTGTTGGTGCAGAGAGACTCCTGGGTTCTGTTCCTGGCTTGGCCCCTGGGTTTTGAGTATGATGGGCTGGTTATTTCACCTCCCTTTGCCCATCTGTGACTGTAGACTGACTTGTGTTTGTTGTTAACATGGTGCAATCATCTTAAAATTCACATTTAAATTAAAAAACAAAACAAAAACAAAAAATCCCCTTAAGGTCCCACTCCCCATCACACCCTGTCAGGTGCTGCCTTTACCCTTCTGTGTCCTTGTCATGACTGCCTGTACCAGCCGCCACCTTCCTCAAGGTACATGAGCATACTGCTGCTGTGATTATCTGAATACACACACCTGTGCCTGCCTTTGACTCTGTTTCTAATTCTGGTTTTCCTGTTGTACCCTGAAATCCTGTAATGCATTTCAATGTGGAGCGACTCACTGTTTTTTTTAAAAAGAAAAGGAGTACTTGTGGCACCTTAGAGACTAACCAATTTATTTGAGCATGAGCTCGAAAGCTCATGCTCAAATAAATTGGTTAGTCTCTAAGGTGCCACAAGTACTCCTTTTCTTTTTGCGAATACAGACTAACACAGCTGTTACTCTGAAAACTGTTTTTTTACTTACTTCCAAGTAAAATAAATAAATAAATACAAAGCTAACATTAATGCAGCACTCTAGGAATATTAAATAAGTGCAAGTGAGAGAAATTCCAAAATTCCCACAGTAGCTGAATTCTGCCCCACTACAAGTGTCTGTTAAGATATAACCGTGATCGCGAATCAATATAATGATGAACAGAGATTGGCAGAGAAACTGGAACCAGGCCAATGTATCTCTGAAATGTCTCTTTAAGTTCTCAGTCATAATATTGATTTAATGTAACTTTCCTTTGTGCAATATGTAAATGTTCGTCATGTAAGTGCTTTACAGACATTAGCTAATGAATCCTTGCAGGTAGCTGGTTCAGACTGAGATGTATTTATCCTTGTTTTACTACGTGGTAAAAGTAGAATGGAGAACTAAGAGAAGTCACCATCCAGAACTTACCATTCAGGGATTCTCTTGGCATAGTTACCTATGACCTTTTGCCCAGAAATGAATGAGAGATGTGTCCTTTACTTCGTGATTCTGTTAACCCACCCTGGTCTTTTATATTAAGTGGTAGGAAGGCAGACTGTTCTTCTTTGCCTCCTTCCCCTATATTCCCCTTGCAGTTGGAAGCAGCGGAATTACCAGATATGTTCAAAATATTGCCCAACAGGGATACATAATCCTGAAATTTGGGAGGGCCACTCCAGTCAAATAAAGAATCTCACTGGGACAAAAATGAAGGGAGGCAGAATAGGAGGCTGTGATAGCTTCAAAATATATATACTTCAACCACTTCTCTTCTTATAGTAAAGTGTGACAGCAAGTCAAAGGGAAGGAGCCAGCTTCCATTGAAATGAATGGGGATTTTGCCATTAACTTCAATGAAAACAGGAATAAGATGTGGTTTGATATTTACATAGCCCATTTTGGCCAGAAAGTAGCACAGTGGTTTATTGTGAAATCCACAGCTATGGCCCCAGATGAAACTTCTTCCATTTCTTTCAGTGGATGGACAAAAAATAGTTTGGAAGTATCTGGCCAAAAGGTCTGTCCCCTATCCTCCTTCCTCCACTGCAAAGAAAGATGGTACTGAACTGTACCTCCTTCGTGTGCTGGTGAAATGTTAAATTCGGGTCCCACCCAACACGATTTTTTTTCTCCCTCTCCCCCCCTCCCCCCCCATTTAGGCCCTGTTAGACAGAGGGATTGTGGAACTGTTAATGACTTCTGACAACAAGGATGGACTCTCCTCTGGCTACGTAGAAGGAGGTATGTGGCATTGCAGTGCTTTTCAAGGGGAAAAGTTAAAGCTACTCTTCTAGTCTGGAATGGTGGAAAAGACTGATGCCTTAAATGAGGGGAGGTGCATTTCCTTAGGTACATCTTTATTATTATTTTTTGTGTTGTGTTAGCACATAGGAGCACAAGTCAAGGACTGGGATCCCATAGTGCTAGATGCTGTACAAGCACAGAACTAAAAAAGAGTCCCAAAGAGCTTAGTGCACACTCCTTTTCAATGTAATGACTGGGATATGGATGGCAGCAGAGTTGCACCATGGATATACAACATGTTGGAGCACCGAGGAGCTATATATCACTTTTCAGACCATGTGGAGGAGTCAAGGGCTGATAGGGATGAACAGCTTGGAAATAATAAGGTTTAACCATATATAGCTACCTCATCCTGTTTGGTGATGAGCATCTGCAACTTCCATTAGCGTTCTTTGGAAGATGTAAGAGATCAGATACCAAGAGGTGATGAGCAAAGAGGTTGAAATTGCTGTTGATGCTAAAGATACTGCCCTAGCTATTTATTTCAATTTAACATATTAAAAATGCCTACATGTAAGCACTTGGTACCCTAACAATTATTAAAAGTGCAATCACCTTTTGTTAGGATTTTGGATTTTACATTAAAAGTCAGAAGGCCTCATGAAAAGCCGAAATGGGAGACTGAAATTTACCGCTCTGAAAGGGTTGAAAATAGTTTGTAGAGGGGCAGGCTGGCTAGCCGTGGGTTACTGTGGCATTTGCGCACTTGTCCCTAGAGCGTGGAGCTTTTCGGGTGCGAAGAGGAGTCGGGAGAGACAAGTTGACTTTTGTGATATAAATCTCATAAAAAATCAATCCTCCTAACGAGCTATGATCTCCCTGAAAATAACTCCTAGAAACCCAGTTTAGCACCTAGCCATACAGAAACCCAGGTGCATGAGCTCCAGTGTCTGTGTTCTGCATTTGATGGTGTTGTATACGGCACCATATTGAGATGTTCCTTCTTCTGTGCCTGATCCTGCAACTAGCCCTTAATCACTTCACTATTCCCATTGACTTCAGTGGGGCTACCCATCTGAGTAATGATTACTTTCCTGTGTAACGGTTTGCAGGTCCCAGGGCTATGTTAGTCATAAGTAAGGCAGCGAGTCTTTCACGGATTCCCTCTGACTTCTGCAGCGGCAGGAGTGGCTGACCCCAGGGCCAGCCTAGCAGCTGGGCCAGCCACACTGGCTGCTGCTTAGGCAGCCCCAGGCAGCTGGCCCTGGCGCTAGGAGCAGTGGCAGGGCCCTGGGCCGCCCCTCCCACTTCCAGAGCCACGGCGGCGGGGTCCCAGACCACTCCCCCCCAGCAGCAGTGGCATGCTGGAGCCTGCCCGACCCACTCCCAGAGCAGCAGTAGCATTGCCAGAGCGCCCCCACCCTCACCCAGCAACTACAATTTAGTCAGGGGTATTTATTGTACAAGTCATGGCCAGGTCATGGGCTGTGACTTTTTGTTTATTGCCCGTGACCTGTCCATAACTTTTATTAAAAATACCCATGGCTAAATCGTAGCCTTGGTCACAAGTGCTGCTGATGTTCAGTCCAGAGAGAACTGCATGGAGATCACAAAATAAGAGATGTTCCCCACTCTTCTTTGCTCTTACGTTTGAAATAAATAAAGCGGGGGGAATGCATTCTTGGTGTAACTCTGAAGCTTGTGGAGTTGCACCCCGACTTAGTGTAGCCTGTTCCAGTTTTTCTTTCAGCTACAGCAGTTTCCAGCCTTGTCCACACAGGGTCACTCTCTCCCTGCCAGTGAGCTCAGCATTTGGAAGGGGTGGGGGTGGAAATCCCCTTTTTTAGCACTCGTTGCCTTTCCTGGGAATGTTTACCGCCTTGGAGCTCTCTCTCGTGCGGAGTTGTCTTTTCCAGAGGGCTGTATGATGAGAGGGCTTTGATACCAATTCGCATTTTAGATGTCATAACAATCTGCTCATTAGAGTCAACATGTCAAGTAATCAGGAATGCGGAATAACTAGGGCTTCCAGTGATGCTGCAGCAGCAGCAAGGTGGCTGAAAACACAAAAGGGAAGGTAATAGAATCTGCTGTAGAAATAGGCAGAAAGATGAGAGAGGAGAAACTGCTGCCATGAGGCTGGAGAGGAATATAAAGCCATGATCCTGAGGCCTGGTTCATTCTTCTCGTCAGTGGAGGCTTGGTTTCCTTTTAAAAGTGTGCGTGATTCCCATTGATGCTGGTGGCTGACAGGTGCCTTGCAGAGAAGAATATCCATTATGGAAGGGCATCTGCTCCAGGGTGTCATAGCCAGTCTGGTAGTTCTCTCCTAGCCCCTGCTCTGTGGCTGTAAAGGACCCTCCTGGCCTCAGAATCAGTGCAGTGGCGGGAGCAAGGCTTCTGATGGTGTGCATCCCCTCCACACCCATGGACACAGCCTATGCCACATGGTGCAGCTCTCTGGGGGTAGCATTGAAGCCTGTAGCTTGCAGTCTGTATGGATCCATCAGCCATCGACCTGGGCTGAGGAAGGAGGTGCAAGAGCTGCAGAGGCTTTTTGAACCCTGAGTCTGGCGTGGCAATGCCAAGAAGCTTCAATACTTCTCCACAGGCTGGAGTAGGGTAAAGTATCTCCCGCACAGCAATCCCCAGCGTCCAACCCAGTTCATCAGGCAGGGCCCTGGGAGCATGCTTTGCATCGCTGTGCAGATTACAATTTCAACCAAGGGGGTAGACACTGTGGGTGTGGGGCTGTGGGTGGCTGTTATTGGGGCATCCTATCAAAAGCTGCCTCTTGTACTCCGTGAAGATGGGAGGTGCTTCAGACAGGGAAGGAGAGCTTCCAGAGAACCTAGTTAGCTAGTTCACCATTATATCTGGGTTTGCTCTGTCGCTCCCCAGTGTCTTTGATAGCTGCTCAGCAATGTATTGCTAATTCCGAGTGGACAGGTGGCCTCATCCCATTAAACTACCATCACACTCTGCACTAATTGGCAACTCGTTGGCAGTCTTGACAGTGAACGTAAGGGCTAAATGTGCCACAGAATCCAAACTCCTGGTCCCTCCAGGTCAGGACTGAAGTGCACTGGGGTGGGATGTGTGTAAAGCTTACCCTGCTGCTGCCCATCCTTTATCGGATCTGAGTATTTGGGCTCGATTTTGTTCTCCCACCAGTTTCAGTGGAGTTCTTGATTTGCACTAAGAGCAATACTGGGCACCTTGTCTCCAGGGCTTTCAACCAGTGCCTTCCACCAGCAGTAAACTCACGTTTTGTTCTTGCAAAAGAAATGACTTGCTTGTCTGTACCAAAGTCTCAGGGTTTGCACATTGGTCACAGAAATCTGTGAAAATCCAGGTAAAAATGGTGAAATGCTGGCTCTGGCTCTTGTAAATATTCTGTTTGAATCGTTGTGCTTGACGAAACAGGGGCTGGAGCTGATGCCAGCTCTTTTAGATTATTGTGGAATAATGTACTTTTTGTTTGAACAATACTTGTACCACTGCACCTTACATCGCAGAGCTCTTGCACTGGAGTGTCTTAAATGTTAGGCAAGGGCAAGAGAAGAGTTAAGGGTTCTTCACACCACAGCCCCTGTTGGGTTGAGGAATATTGGTTACTGGGTAGCCATGTATGTTGTCAAATTGCCATGTGCACTAGTTCTCCTGGACTATGCAGTCAGTGCCTTTCTCCCAGCATGCAAAGAGCATAATCTAGCTGTTGGCTTGTTTCCGGTGAAACACTGTGTGTCTCCCTGCTGAGATGTAGACTTTAATTGGGAGATCTATCAGGCTCATTTGTATTGTGGTTTCTCAATCCCTCTCTTGTTCACCTACCCCCACAAAACCGTTAAGCTGTAAGCCTCTGCCAGGGATAGAGTATCCTGCAGCTAAAGCCTGGAGGTCAGAATTGCCTCCAGATATGATTTCTAATAATAACAGTTCTCCTTTATGGTGCCTTTCATCCAAGGATCTCCAAGTGCTTTACGGATGCTAATTAAGCCTTGGGATACCCCATGAGGTGGGCTGCTGTTATTTCTTGCTTGTATCTCTGTGTGAACATTCAGAGCTAGGAATGTGGCCTGCAGCTATTCCACTGTTTGTCGAAGTCCACAAGCTGAGAAGCTTCATGGTAGGTCAGGATTTGGTTCGGAGACCTCCAAGGAGCACCCAGGCGTGCTGCAGGATGTTGTGTTAATGATTCAGTAATTGGCTTATTTTCCCTCTGAGTTGGTGACAGGTTGATGCCCCATCCTGGTATATGGAAACGTTCCATCAGTTGAGGGGATTGATTTTTCAGCACTAGTGAAGACTCTTGTTTCTCAACAGCTTTGGCCACTGTTAACTTTCAGAAGGTGGATTCCAGCTTCCTGGTCTATCTCGACACAGTACAGGTAAGATGAAAAGATTTGTCTTTGTTCAGCCTATTCTTATTGTTGAAACAGTGGCATCCAAGCACTGATACCTTATTTTTGTGGTGGATGCTCCAGACTCCTCTTCCCTTAGGGCCAAATCCCTTTGAAGTCAATGGAAAGTTTCCCATTGATTTCAGTGGAAGTTGGATGGGACCTTAATGAGGCTGCAACCCAATGCTCACTTACTGCTTGTTTTCCTGTATGGTTGTGGAGCTTGGCTAGTGTTCGCAATCTGGGATCTCTCTTTGGAAAGCGGGGGGATAGAGTGTGTGCCATTGCATCAGAATTTCTACAGCTGAGGCCCAGCTCTGATATAAAGCAGAGAGAGAGAGAGACAGGCTGTAGATCAAGCTCTGAATTTCTGAATGCTTCAAAGATGGGGGATGTTTGGATCTAGGGTTCTGGTTCAGCCCATTATGGGTGAATCCTAATTTCATAATATTCATGGATACTCATGAAAGTGGGGGTTTGGGCATCTGGGAGCTTCAGAACTCTTAAGAGCTTCGTTTCAGCCTCACAGGGATTAGATATTCAGGACAGAAGCCCACAGCTTTTCAAGAGCACAGCTGCAGTCATTGCAGCCCTGAGGGGACACAGCCAACCTCCAGGTTACTGAGAATATGGAAAACATGGGTAGCACTGTATAAAGCTACAGGCTGTTTGCAAAATGCAGATTTAGATATGGATTGGGTGTTCAACAGCCAGCCAGCCTCCTCCTCCTAATCCCCCCTCCCCCCCTCCCCCCCCCCCGTGTTTGGATAGCGGGGCACTAGTCCAGCTGCATCTCGAGGGAATGTTATGGTGGGAATGAGTGTGGTGGAAAAGCAAGATGCTGCGATGTCCCCGATAGACTTGCTACGTCACAAAGCCACCAGCAACATGTGATTAAATTATCCCCCTCGCCCGGATTGAATTTGCAGCATGAGGTCTATGTTTGTCTGTCCTTTTTAGTGCTTAACAGATTTGAATGTCTGGTAATTCCTTTTTCTAATATTGAGTGATCAATTAAACAATTAAAGTGAACAAGTTTTGGCAGGAGAAGGCAGGACTCCACAGCAGCCTTTCTGGCAAGTGTGTCCTTCATAGCCGTAACCGAGTGCCTCGTGCATGCTGGTGGGGAGAGGGGATGGCATTCTGAAGTGTTCTGCTGGTGGAGCCCTTGGGAATCTGTGAGCAGATTTCCTATTTGCAGGTCCTGATCTGACTCCCCTCACCTGGGTTTCCATTGTTCCATGACATATGCAGCTATTGATCCACTGAAGAGAGGCCAGAATAATTTCACTTTGGCAGCATTCTGATTCTCCACGTTCTCTTTGCTTTGGAGTATTAATCTGCAGGTACCACTGGATCTTGGAACTGGAGACCTCCTTTCTTGCAGCTTGAGGGCTCTCTACACAAGTGGAGATAGCCTGACGCTTGTGTCTTTCATTTAAAGAGGATTGTGCTGTTCTGCCTGACCAACAGGAGCCTGGGCACTGGTCTGTTCCTGGCTTGAAATACCTTCCCTACTGTGCTATAAAGGTTAATTGTAGCCAGATATCTCCGAAAGCCAGAAATCTTATCTCCTGAAGTGTTTGTTACTGGGGAGGTGATGGGAAGGTTCTTTAGACTCATACTAAATATCCGAGGGATTAAGGGTAATTTAAAGTTTAAATCCCCCATGTATCAAAATTTTTTGTGGGGTGGACTAAGTGTTTCTTAAATCAAGTGAACTCACAAAGCAGAGTGAAGGCTCCTTCTGTTTGCCAACCTGCTTGGTTCACACACAGTCACAGCCATGTCGAGATCAGGATAAAAATAAAAGTATCATGCCTATGACACAGCCAGCCAAGTCAGGGTCAGGCTGAGCAACATCGTGGTTTCAGAAGCATTTTAATCATCGAGGGGCCAGTGAGCTGCCAATCAGGCTGCGCTGCAGCCCTTGCGAGGGGCCAGTGCACAGTAATAGAGGTTTCAGTCTCCCCTGATAAAGCAAATTCAACACGGCAGCTCATTACAGCAGCTTCAGTGGGAAGTTTGGGTGTATGATTCCATATTTGAAGGGCTCCACCAGCCATTTAGGCATGTCCCTAAATGTTCCTGCTTATCAGTCTGAGAACTGGACTCCCTAATTTAGCCACTCAGGCTTGGAAACGGGGTTCTCTATTTTGGTGCCTTTGAACAGCAGGTTCTGGCAATTGAAAAAGGCGGTCTGGATTATAGAGTTCATGGAACAGACTCCATGAACTGTTGGGGCCTGGTATGTGTCGCCGCTGTTTGCTCTCTCCTCTATTATTCTAGCTTTGCCATCCTACCTCGCTCCTCCCCTGCTATCTCAGTCTTAGCTGCTCTACAGCTTTGCCAGCAAGTTCCAGTCTTCACCTGCAATGCCCCCACCGCGTGCTGTTCCAGTCCAGGGTCCCACTCAACTCTGCCAATGCACCTCAATCCTGATCTACAGCCCTCACACCTCCATTCCAAGCCTGAGCCTCTCCTAAGTGTGTAATGCCAGATGGTATGGATAAGCTAAGGTGGTGAACTATATTAGATTTCAGACCCAAATCAAATTTAAGCAAAGGACACCAAGCACTGGATTAACCCATTGTGTACTGTACTTTGTCCTTCTGTAACTGATACAGTGGGGCGGTGGAGGTGATGTCTTGAGTCTGTGTCAAGCAAACAGTAGTAGCGTCATTCCTACCCTCACCTGGGGTGATTCACCACTCTAACAGTCTTTTCTCTCTAATGACTTGGGTATCCCGGTCCAAAACTGATCAGGAGGCAGTTTGACTCAATGGCATTCTGTCTTGTTGCAGATATGCCTACATATTGGCTTCATGACAGCGCTTCATGCAGGATCCTGTCCCAGGGCACCCCCTCAACACTGCCTGCATGGTGTTTTATTTAACACTGTTCATTTGTGGAGGAGCACTCCAGTCTAGTGTTTCACCTGAGTGCCCCAGATTCCTTGCACTGTCAGAGATGTAAGATGTATAGAGGTGGGGAATTGGTGAATGAGCACTTCGCTCAGATTGCAGCCTGGTTGTGAGATGCCACAGCAGCAAAATGGGACCAGGTTTTATTTTTTAAATGATGATAATCTCCTCTTTGATTGCACACTCTTCCCTCCTCCTCCTCCTCTACCACCAACACCTTCCTTTCCTCCCCTAAATGCCAGCCTGGAAGATTTGCAGAAATGCTTTGTGTCCCTGGGCTGTGGCCTGTCTGTTCTCTCATCTCCCCATTTTCCAGCTTGGAACCTAATTGGGATTTCACATTCTTGGAAAGTTTGCGGGGCAAATCCAGCCATTTTAACCTGACTTTGTGACCCACAGGCTAGAGAGGTTCTGCTGTAATTGGCCTTCCCATATTGAGCTGGCACTGGAGCAAGAAGTAGCATGTTCTCCACCAACCTCATAGTCATTGCTGATCACCAGGTACAGCGTGACCCTTGGAGAACAGCACTCCCTCTGCAACGCTAGTTAATTATAGGGGTTGGAGGGCTGACCGTGCGTGTTCTTAGGGAGTCTGAATCATAGGTTTGTTTGTCCTTGATGTGGTCTCTATTCAAGGCGCTGATTAAATGCCCTGCTTGACTGTTTTGTCTGAGACTGATTTGACTGATACTGTATTTTATCAAGAGCTGATTTGAACCTGGAGCAATTAGAACATTACAGGCACCAGCAGTTGTATTCTCCTAATAGAACATGATTTTCTTTAATTCTGCTTACCTTATCCCTTTCACATAGCATCAGATAACCCCCACCCATCAAACACAAGGTGAAATTGCCTTGACTAGGAGTAAACGTCCTGAGTGCGGAGTGCTGACAAGTCTGATCGCACATGGTACTGTCTGGTGTGATGGGGTCAAGCGGAATTCCACAGGAGGTAAAGGAGCTGGCAAGCCGTGACAAATGGGAAGAAATTGCTTTTTAATGAAGACCTAATTCCTGCAAAGGCTAATGCTTTCCTGCCATCACCATATGCAGCATTAAAAAGGCATTAAGTCGCTAAGGTCTGCTGTTCCCACCTTGGCAAGCATTGGCTACAGCACACCTGCAAACTCATAAACTGCAGTGGTGTGGCTGATAAGTAGACATTTATAAATGTAAATTTCTAGCAGAAACTAAACCATCGCAGTTGGCTTGTTTTTTTGCTCCAGTTGCTCAAAGCCTTGATATGTGGAACCATTTGGTGTCACCTGTTCTTTTGCGTTGCTTTGTGTTTCCCTTCTGGTGGTGTGATCGTAGGAGACTGTATATGCTGCAGGCTCTGCTTTGCCCATCTGTCCTAGGTGTTTCTATGTCTTGCTTGTCCAGGGTTTTGTCTCTAGATCTTTTCTGTCTGCTTGAGAAGAAACCCTTTTAAGGGCCTTTTCCTCCAACAGCACTCAGACGATGGGCCTCTGGAAAACAAGGGTGAGCACTGGATCTCCATACCACCCCATCTATGTAATTCTGTCTTTTGTTTTTATAACAGCAAAATAAGCCGAAGATGGTGATGGAGTATTGGACTGGATGGTTTGATAGCTGGGGCGGCCCTCATAATGTCTTTGATGCAGATGGTGAGCACCATATATTATCATCGCACACTTAGGATTTATTGCGGTATAAACTGCTGTCAACAAACGTGGTACAGTAATGCTGTCTCCATCAAGTTTCCTATCTAGCGATGCCCCTAGCTCTGAGCAAGTGCCTGTAAATTTATAACCTCTTTAGTGGATTCACACACTGCTGTGGGTTTTTTTTTTTTGTCTTTCTTTATCCCTGTCAATGTCAAGTAATGATTTTTATGTGGCATTTTTCAAATAAGTTTGTTTTCACTGCTCTAGGAGTAAGCATATCAACAAGCTAGTGCAAGGAGTAGTTGCATAGATTCCAAGGCCAGAAAGGACCATTGTGATCATCTAGTCTGACCTCCTGTATAACACAGGCCAGAGAACTGCCCCAAAATAATTCCTAGAGCAGATCTTTCAGAAAAACAATCAATCTGGATTTAAACATTGACATTAGCCGTCAATCTTTATATTATGGCAGTGTCCAAAAGGCCTCAACTGGGTCACGAACCCCCATTGTGCTAGAGGCTGTACAAACACAGAAAAGAGACAATCTCTGCCCTAAAGAATTCACAGTCTGAAGAGACAAACAAAGAGTAGGCGATGTGGATACAACATACAAGCTAATGAAATTGGTGAAGAACTGATAGTTATGTGGATTGTAGAAAACTTTTGTAATTGGGGTTAGAGATAAGGTGGAAGGGAAAGGAAATAAGGATAGTCACTGTGAGGAGCTTAGAAAGGACTTCTGGGTTTTATTTCACCTCCTCCACTGTTTCCTATCTCCCTACCTCTTCAGGGGTATGGGTCATCGTAGGGACACGTCATTGCCCACTGAAGTCACTGGCAGATTCTCCAATGACTTCAGTGTGCATTGGAGCAGGCCCGTAAAGCTTTGTTCTAGTGATCTACATTTTTATGTGGCTCCTATCACCACAGAATCTGAGTACCTCACTATCATTAATGAATGTATTTTTCCAACACCCATGTGGAGAGGGAAATAGTATTAGCCCCATTTTACAGATGGGGAACTGAGGCATAGAGAGATGAAATGACTTAGCTGAGGTCACAGAGGGACTCTGTGGCAGATTTGGGAATAGAATCCAGATCTCCTGACTCCTAGCCCACTGCCTCAGCTACTTCGTCCCTATCTTGTGCAAATTTCTAAGGGACTCTATTCTGCATATGTATGCTACAGCAGTAGTAAAAATGACATGAGGATTTTGTGATAGCTCTGTCATTACATTGTATGCATAGTAAATAGATTTGTTTTCACTCCAACAAGATTATTTTACCTTTTGTGGGTGATATGGTCAACATAAACCTCATTCAAACTTAGTACTTCCAAAAGGGTCATGTCCCATTTCAGTTCATATATTAAGAAACAAGGTAAATAAATATATCTTAAAAAAATAAAGGAAACTTAAATAATTTGGTCATAACATAATGCATCTAAAATAACCTGTCTCCTACCTGTGCAATTCTCTGTGTAACTATGTCATCAGTATAGTAGATCAAGGTCCTTGCCTAGGCAGAATTCCCACTGAAGTCAATGAAAACTTTGCCTGCTTTGGGAATGTAGGCTCTCTCGGATGGGTTTTGTATGAATTATTCCTGCAGAACATTTCAAGTGGAAAGGTTGCCCTATATAAAGTAAAAGCGACAAAGAGTCCTGTGGCTCCTTATAGACTAACAGACATATTGGAGCATAAGCTTTCATGGGTGAATACCCACTTCTTCAGTTGCATCTGAAGAAGTGGGTTTTCACGCATGAAAGCTTGTGCTCCAATATGTCTGTTAGTCTATAAGGTGCCACAGGACTCTTTGTCACTTTTACTGATCCAGACTAACACGGCTACCCCTCTGATACTATATAAGGTAGCTGTAAGTGACTGGAGTTACCCCAGGCATGAATTGGGCTCATGAAGCATTGGGAGAGGGGGGTGATTGTAAACAAAATGCTCAGTTTGAAATTCTTGAATTGTTGGCATGTTCAGTCCGTACGATGTTATACTACCTTCTTGATTTGTGATGTTCGGAACCATTGTTGGGGGTTTTCCTTCCTTTACAGATATGGTGAATTCTGTAGCAGAAGTCCTTAAAACAGGAGCATCCATCAACCTCTACATGTTCCATGGGGGCACCAACTTTGGCTTCATGAATGGTGCTTTGGATTTTGATGAGTACAAGCCAGATGTCACAAGTTATGGTGAGTTTTCTTTCACTGCCTCGCTTGCGTGCCCATTGCAAGCCTGCAGCCTTTGAGCCAGCTGCAGCTGATGGAAAGCTCTTTGCCCATCACTTTCTTGAAGGATCTAGGTGCTGTCTCTGCATCACCATCACCCAGACAGGAGAGAAGAAAAATCCTGATCTTGGCTCATCTGGGAAGATGGTGTGACTGTGACAGAGGGTTTCCTTTAACACTTCAGATTTCTCGCCCTATTCCAGTATTTGGGGGAGTCCTTTACTATGAATTGAGTCAGAAACCACTGGGTAGATAAAGACATATAGTTATCATCAAGTGGTGCTGTTTTCTCTATAGTGTCTCTCCTCTCTTTCAATTAATGATTAAGGAAAGACCATCTGAGACTTCTGACACCAAAATAGTTAGTTGTTTGGCTTTGACTTTTAACAATTTGAAGAGTATATTATAGCAATTTTCATCCCAAAAGTCCTCACCAAAACTATTGACTTTATCCTACATGGAGTTAAGGGCAGATGCAGATTGGGACCCTCACAGTATCTGCAGCCAACACTGGGGAGGAGAGCAGCAGTGAGGGAAAAGAGGAAATGTTAGCAGAGAATGCTAAGGCAAATCTGTGTTCTTATGGAAAGGTGTCTGGGACCATGCAAGGCAGATAGGACCCCTATCCATTTACTGCATGGCACTATCCTCAATGTATTTGTGTTGCGTGGAAGAAGGGCTGACTTGAGCTTGCTGTGATTTGAACCTCTGATTGCAAGAAGTGGAGAGATTTCTTACCTGAAACATAGGCCTTTAACATGCATCCGTATTTCTTCCCCTCCTCTTTGGCTTGCAATAACAGTTAAGAAAATATTTTATTTGTCAGTCAGTTGTATGAGGCAGGGGAAAACCCATTAAGCATAATGGGAAAATGGATGGCACTGGTGTACATGGGAGAGGAAGGGTATCGGTTAAGAGCCCTGTTGTGTCCTCAGACTTTCATGCCCTGTTACCCTTGACTTCAGTCAGGCATTGTAGAAGTGAACGTGGGGGGCAGAATTTGACCATACACTTTATTATACCAGCAATAGGTGTGGGTTCAAGCTGTTTCTCTTTACTTTTATTTTACGCCCATCTTCAGAATTACTTTGCTATTAAGTAGCTGTCTCTCTACACAATGAGACAATGTCTCAGGCCCTGTCTGCATTAAGGAACTTTGTGCTTGTGTAGTTAATCAATGTAGCTATACCAGTGCAGACTTCCTTAATGTCAACAAGGCCTGAGATAAACATATTCCCCCTTTGGCTCTGACCTCTTGAATGACTACTTTCCTAAAGCTGACGATGCTCTGTGACAGGTGCATGCTTGTTTTCCAGACTATGACGCTGTGCTGACAGAGGCTGGAGACTACACATCCAAGTTCTTCAGACTCCGTCAACTCTTCACCAAGATCATAGGTGATGATAAACCTCAGAGCAGCTTCTCTACCCCTTAAATGCTGGCCTGTGCTATACCAGAGAAGCTTTAAAATGGACCACCAAGGGTCTCTGCTGGATCCCTGCTACTCCCCACACGGATATGTCCCGCAGATTAGTTGGAAGCATTTCCTGAAGAGAAGGAGGCCCAGGGATCATAGAATATCAGGGTTGGAAGGGGCCTCAGGAGATCATCTAGTCCAACCCCCTGCTCAAAGCAGGACCAATCCCCAACTAAATCATCCCAGCCAGGGCTTTGTCAAGCCTGACCTTAAAAATATCTGAGGAAGGAGATTCCACCACTTCCCTAGGTAACGCATTCCAGTGTTTCACCACCCTCCTAGTGAAAAAGTTTTTCCTAATATCCAACCTAAACCTCCCCCACTGCAACTTGAGACCATTACTGCTTGTTCTGTCATCAGCTACCACTGAGAACAGTCTAGCTCCATCCTCTTTAGAACCCCCTTTCAGGTAGTTGAAAGCAGCTATCAAATCCCCCCTCATTCTTCTCTTCCACAGACTAAACAATCCCAGTTCCCTCAGCCTCTCCTCATAAGTCATGTGTTCCAGCCCCTAATCGTTTTTGTTGCCCTCCACTGGACTCTTTCCAATTTTTCCACATCCTTCTTGTAGTGTGGGGTTGTAGAGCAGGTTGTTACAGAAATGGTTTTTCAGCTGACTTCCCAGCAACGGGAAGGATGCATGCATTTAACAGTCTCCGCATGCAGGGGAAATGTCATGCCAGCAAACTTAAAATCAATGCAAATCTGGGGAAGTGCTTTTGTTGTACAGATCCCGTTTGCATTCTGTTCTCTCTGGAGTTGGACAGGTGGCTCTCACCACTGGATAAATACACCAGCCCTGGCCCAGCTTTCAGTTTTGCTTGAGCTCTCTTTGAGGTGGATACAGTGCTCTGTTTGATCCCATAGGGAGATTGATCAAAGACGTTTCCAGAGGCAGAGCTGTGGTCTAGAGATAGAATCAGGGAGTGCCCATAAGCCCCCCTGTTGCCTTCTGTAGCATCTATCTAGCAGAACTGAAATATAACACCTGTCTTGTTTCTGCATTGCAGGGCAGCCTCTGCCCCTCCCTCCTATGATCACAGACAAAGCATCATATGGCGCAGTGCTGCTGCCGCAGTATGTCTCTCTGTGGGAGGTGCTGCTATCTATTGTAGAGGTGGGTACAGTCCTTTGAGCTGGAGAATGTGCCAAGAGGATGGGATGATGCAAAGAAACACGTTGCACTATGAAATAATATAATCTTATTCTGAAGGACCTCAAGGTGCTTCACAAACTTTGTATCTATAGCTGCAGTGAAAGGTAGCCACCTCTGGGGTGGAGGAAGTCAACCCATTTGTATACCACATGCTCCACAAGAATGGGGAAGAGAGGGCACATTTTGGCCAAGGATACTAGAGCCATTTGTCTCTAAAGTGCTACATGATCTTTAATGTCACGGGGAGAGGACCTGTGTTTTAAGGTCTTATCAGAAAGACCTGAGCCTAGTACGTTGTATGGAACTCCCATTTATTTACTGTGGGACTGCTTGGATTTGGCTTCAGGGATGCTTGGTTTTGCAAATTTGAGGCTTCACCCATTTTGTCACCTGTTCCATTTACTAATACTTCACGCTCATTGGAGCGCCTTCCATCTGGGAACTTCAGAGCTTTACAAAACCCTCAGCCATCCCTCTGGGCCTTAGTCCCCCAGGGTGTAAAATGGGTTAATGATGCTTTCCTATTCACAGGACGGGTCAATAGATTAGCACGAGGTCACACAGCAAGAGAGACAGGAATAGCATGCAGGAGTACTGATTCCTAGTCCCTGGCCCTAGCCATTACACCAAAACTACCTCCTACGTGAAGAAAGCAGGGATCAATTACTCTAGTTATTCACCCAGAATTGAACAAGAAGCAATGGGTTTAAGTTGCAGCATGGAAGAAGCTTTCAGAACCATAGGTAATGGAGCAGGTTGTCAAGGAAGTGATGAAATAGCCATAATTGAACATCTGTGTCTGATGAAGGCTTAGACATCCAGCTAGCAGAGATGGTGTTGGCAGGATTGAAACTCATCACTTAGTTGCAGTTCTTTGCACCCCGGGAGCCCTTTAAGAGAGGCAGCTTTTGCACAGGATTTGAGTAAATGTCAGTTTGTGAGACATAGCAGCTACTTGGCTGATGATGCCGCCCCTGTGTAGCCTGTCCCCTTAGAAAGGTTACTTGTTCTTCCTTTGCAGCCCATTAAGTCAGAGTTCCCGGTTAACATGGAGAACCTGCCAGTGAATGATGGCAACGGGCAGGCCTATGGGTATACGCTCTACGAGACGGTCATATCCGGTGGAGGACAGCTGCATTCCAGGGACAACGTCCGGGACCGAGCACAGGTAAAGAGCACAGAGCAGTTGTTGTTCTGACTCTACAGAAAGGCAAATAGCTTGGCTGCGGTAGTTGGCGTGAAATAGGCCAGCCGTGAACCAAGGTGGCAGGCTTTCCCTGAGTAGAATTGTGATTCCCTTGTGCTATTCATAACGAAGCCCCAGCCTACATCCTCCCTAAATCCCAGGCTCAAGGTCCAAGTCTGTTTAAACTCCAATAACATCAGCTCAGATCTATCCACAGAAGGTAATGGTCGGAAATCATGGTGCATTTTTAGAAATGCCTTGATTTGCCCAACATTGCAGAATGAGTCAATGGCAGAGCTGGGAATAAACCCCAGGAGTCTTGACTCCTGTTAGACCAGAGGTGGGCAAAGTACTGCCCGCAGGCCACATCCAGCCCACGGGACTGTCCTGGCCGGCCCCTGAGCTCCCGGCCGGGGGGGGGGCTAACCCCCGACCCCTCCCCCGCTGTCCCTCCTCCCCTGCAGCCTCGCCACGCTGCCAACGCTCTGGCCCTCTGCTCCTGCTGGGCAGTGCAGCATTTTGGCTGCCTCTAGCTGGGTGGTGGGGCTGTGAGCTCCTGCTGCTCTGAATGGCATGGTAAGGGGGCGGGGAGCAGGGGGGTTGGATAAGGGGCAGAGGATCCCAGGGGACAGGGAGTTGTTGGATGGGGCAGAGGTTCGAGGGGGGGACAACGATCAGGAGATGGGGAACGGGGGGGGGTTGGATAGGTGTGGGAGTCCTGGGGGGTCTGTCAGGGGGCGGGGGTGTGGATAGGGTTCAGGGCAGTCAGGGGACGGGGGAGTTGGATAGGGGGTGGAGTCCTGGGGGGAGCAGTTAGGGGACAAGGAGCAAGGGGAGGTTGGATGGGTCGGAGGTTCTGAGGGGGGCAATCGGGAGCAGGAAGTGGGAGTGGGCGGATAGGGGGCAGGGGCCAGGTTGTTTGGGGAGGCATGGCCTTCTGACCCAGCCCTCCGTACAGTTTTGCAACCCCGATGTGGCCCTCGGGCCAAAAAGTGTGCCCACCCCTGCGTTAGACAATGCTTCCTCCCCTGTTATGGCTCTAATCTCTTGTCTAGTACACCTGTTTCGAATTCTGCTGGTCTCCTTTGCCCTCTCCTGCAGGTGTTTGTTAACACTGTGTTCGTTGGATTCCTTGATTACAACACGGTGGAGCTGTCAATTCCTGAAGGACAGGTAAGTAATCTGAGACCACTCACGAGAAGTATGTGAACTGCGCCATATGATGCTTTGTGGGTAACAGAATCCCAGCTCACCCCCAAGAATGCAGAGCCCAGAAGTGTGTCTAATGCCAGCTTCGTGCAAACCAGCAATGCAGCAGCATGAGACACAGAGCAGTTGTTACACTCAAACCTGAAATGACTCCACAGTTGGAGCAGAGTGGCTTAAAATGCCAAGAGTCCCCTTCAGAGAAGGAGAAATATTTGGACAAAACTCCAGTCAGCAGGTTCACTCCAGAGTAGCAGCTGGTGCACTTCCTGCCACACCCACACACTGCAGACACCCATGAGATGGAACAGTGGGCTCTAGGGACCCTGCCTGTGCTGACTGAGGACATGTAGGCTGTTCGCTCATAGGCACAAAACATGCTTCAGTCTTTTTACTTCTCTTAGGTCAAAGTGAAGTGAGTTGGATGGTCTCACGTGTGTTCTGAGCTCACGCTCTCCACATTACAAAACCATCCAACAGTTCGGCACAAAGCGGCCGTATGAGTAGCACGTCTACTAAATGTGCACTGGCAGAGCTGTGCATGCCTCCAAAGACAAGAATTGGGTGAGTGGGAGGGAACATTGGAGGTCAGGAATGTGACTCCTGGGTAGAGCTGTGTGATGGAAGCCTGTGTGGTGTTGGACACATGTTGTTTCTAGCTCTACGTACCATTTCAACCATTTAAAATGTAACAGCAAAATATTATGGTTTCATGAGAAGGTTGAGTTTTCCTCAGTGATTGCAGTTACTTGCAGCTGTGGCATATGCCTGTAATTTATAGTCCTGTAAACAGCTGCCAAAGCTACTGGTGCAAACTCCCCCCTGGAGCGATACCATTGATTTCTCTCTTTGCTCAACATGGCTGACCTGGCACTTGGCTGTGCACTAATTCAGCAGAGGCTGATCCATTCTTTACAGGGCTTCAGGCAGCTCAGGCTTTTGGTAGAGAACTGCGGGCGTGTCAATTACGGACTTATGCTGAATGAGCAGCGGAAAGGTAGGTTAAGTTGTCTCTTCCCTTCCAAGCTGGTGCATGGGGCTGAGAACTCAGATAAACGCCTCTTTTTGAGTCTGTGTTTAGCAAGGACCTCCAACACGGAGGACATTTTTAAAATGGCTCCCGCGCTCCAGAAACAAACACTCCAGATCGAATGTTAAAATCCTGTGTGTTGGATTGAGTCGTATAAAGGCATGCAAGAATTTCACTGTGCCTGGATAATGCTGTGTAGCTTTGCAGTCAGGCAGTAGAAGGCAGCCAAGGCGGGAGACTGATAAAAGAATATAGGTCACTTTTTGACCATAAGTTCAAACATGTCCAGGGTGGTGGTAGCTGACATGTGATAGTTGGTGAAAATAGCCCACTTCATGGGGGATGGACCTATCTTAAAGACCTTCCCAAGTCCCTCCCTATAGTGGTTGTCAAGATAGACGGGGTGCCCCTCTTCTCACTCCATGATGTCCATATCCACTTGTGTAACATCATACATGGGGGGGGGGGGGGGGGGGAAGGAATTCCTTCCTGATTCCTGTTTCTGCTCTGTGATTTGGAGAGCAAGATAATCTCAGTGTACACAGGGTCCTGGGACTACGGACTATGTCCAGCTCAGTAAAATATTTATGCTGGTAGAGCTGGGGACTGGGAGTCAAGATTCCTTGTGTTCTGTTTTATAGGGGGGAATGTAGGCTGAAACGTTCAGAGCAGCCTAGTGAATGTAGAGACATATTTCATTAGCTTTAAGAGGTGTGCCTAAAGCCCCTGGACTGCTTTGACAATCTCAACCATCGGCTTATAGTTAATGACCTGGACTGAGAGCCAGGAGAGATGGGTTCTGTTCCCAGCTCTGCCCTGGACTTCTTGTGTGCCAGTTTCCTCCACCCGCAAATGAGGATAATTTCAACTGCCTCACAGGAGGCTGGTGAGTCTAAATTTGTTTGTTGGGTGCTTTGAAATTCTTGGGGAAAAAAGCAGTGGATCAGTACAAGGGATACCAGGATGTCCACATTTTCTTCTGAGTATTGGGGAAGTAACTGATCTGCTGCTTTAAAAAAAAAATAAAAATCCATGTATGGACAGCCAAATAAAAAGTGAATCTGCTATGTGCACCAACAGTACGTTCTGCCAGGAGAGGGTTTCTCAGCTTAGTGAGTTAAAGCAAAGGATGGAGAGGAGAGGGCAAAGTGTGGCAACATTCCCTGCTCAATCTGGATGAGCAGTGGGACCATATGGGCTTTAATGCCATTGCAGAGCATGACTACTTTCCGTATCCCGCTGTTCCTCCTATTGAAATAGGAAGATCCGTCAGCTTAGTTGCTTCTCAGCTCTTTATTACCTCTATTGCTCTTGCAGGCTTAATTGGTGACGTCTTCCTGAATAAAACCCCCTTGAGGAACTTCAAGATTTACAGTCTGGAGATGAAACCTGGCTTCATGGAAAGGTTTGGGAGATATATGTACATATATCTAAATTGTTTGTGCAGAGGAGGAGGGCATATATATATCTCCTTCGTTTGCACAGACAATTTGGCATAGGTGCAAAACCTACTTAGCAGTGCCCGGAAAGGCAGCACCTGGTGAATCTTCATGCTTATGAATCTCTTCCTGATAACGCCAACTAAAATTGTACAGAAGGTTTCAACACTTATTTTTGCACCTTTATTTAGGACCCAATACAACCCCCCATTGAAGGGGATGGAAAGACTCCCACTGACTTTAATAGGCATTGGATCGGGCCTGTAGAGATGTGGCCAATCCAAACCCTTTTGAATTTTGTAAAAGTTTGGGGCTTGTCTGGGATCAGAAATTTGGGATTAGGAAACACTTCAGTGAAGGACACTCCCTCCTCCCTGGATAGAGAAGGGAAGTAATTTCAGGAAGCTCCTAACAGTGTATTACTAGTCCAGATGGCTTCCCCCTATTTCATGTTTTAAAATTGTGTTCTTCAGTATTAAATGCTAAAGCAAAATAATCTCGGAGGGATAACTAGCCAGGCTGCTGTCGTTAGAGCAACAGAGCATAGGTCACTTTATGGACTCCTGCCAAAAATCTCAAGAGGGTTTACTATTGCAGTGCTAGTGTTGTACAAATAATGTAACACATTTGTGAGGCCTGAGGACTTCACAGCTGTCATTCTGCTGCCTGCTGTGGTCACCTGGAGTTTAATAGTGTAGAAAGTCTAGAACTCCAATACTTCTGCTACAAAGTTGCAAACCCCTACTGCTTGAGCCAAAGGAGAGAGAATCTCTGTTAGTTCTGGACACTGCAGGGCCTGTGACACACGCAGTTGTGTTCTTATTCTGTCCAGTAGATGTCAGCCATGTGTATACTCTCTCTAGTCAGTTTATTACAGTGATCCTTTAAGGACAGTGCTAACAGGTAGTGTTAAATATTCTAAGTGAAGGTTTTGCAAGGTATTCTCTTTGGCAGGGTGAGCTGTCAGCTTTGTGCTGTAGGGTCATTAGAGAAGGGTATTCCCAATCAAAGGTATGAAAGCTAGTGAGCTGCCATGCAGGCATAAAAGCAAGATTAGCCAGCAGTCTGATCAGTTACTAGCAACTGGCCATTAGCAATGAAACATCATAAGGTAGAAATCTCTGAGCAGGAAGCCAGAGTACACTGTATTGAAAATGGGATTGTGCCAGGCTTAGCTCAGCAATACAGTGGAATTCACATTGCACTAGGTCAATAATTTGCTTGAATCTGGGGATGCTGCTGATCAGCATTGGAGAGAACATGTTCTGATAAGGTTTTGAGTCTCTTGTGGAACTTCTAAGCTCCTCACTTTCTCTCTGCTTCATCACCACTCACAATCACACCTGTGGTACAAGAAGGCAAGAAATGATGCAGACTTTGAGCATACCCAATAACTTGCTAATACCCCCTGATGTGATGAAGGGTGCCCTTGCATTATATATTCCAAAACAGACTTGATGCATCTATATTGGCTCAGATAGTGATATCCGATCCCATGAGCTAAACAGAATTGGACTTCGTTAATACTTGGATGGGAGACATCCACCAAAAACCCAATGCCAATAGAAGTGATGGGTTTGATTCGGTAGGTGGCATTCGCTAACACCTGACCCAATGTTCCAGCGTAGTTTAAGGGGGCATTGGGCTTATGAAGGAGCTGTTTGGGGTAAGTCTTTAAAATTGAGGCCCAATCTACCTGAAGGCAATAAAGATCCTGCAATATTTCTCATGAGAGCAGAGCATTCACCGGAGTGTCCTGACCAGAGTTTCCCCCCCAAGTAATTACAGTTGGCCATCATAACGTTGCAGTCCATCTTGGGGGCTTTTTAAGGTACTTCTAGAGCATCCATCGCTATAACATCTAAGTGTTAAATAGAGTGGCCTAGGTTTCCATAGCATTCTCCACAGAATATGGCATGGTGGAATTTTCATGCCACCTCTTCTAAGGTCTAGGAACCTTGACTTGCCTTCTGTGTACGAGTAGTTCCGTGGTGGTGGTGATGATGGTGATGACAGGAAGACTGTAGCAAATAGGTTTGTAGTGTGCTCTCCAGGCAAATGAGTTTTGGTTCAAGAACTGGAGGGAAGGACCTTGTGTGCTGCAAATTATTGTTACACTTGCTGTGTTTCTCCCCAGAGATGGCTTCATTATGGTGACAGGTGATGCAGGGTTTTTTAAATTAACAACTGGTCAAGCACTTCAGAAATTGTTGAGTTGAAGGGTGCTGTACAGATATAAAATATTAGTCTGAGAGGAATTGCAGCCACCATTATAGTTAAGGTTGCCTGGCTCTGTCTATGCTCACTCCATTTTCAAAAAGAAAAGGAGTACTTGTGGCACCTTAGAGACTAACAAATTTATTTGAGCATAAGCTTTCGTGAGCTACAGCTCACTTCATCGGATGCGTTCAAATGCATCCGATGAAATGAGCTGTAGCTCAGGAAAGTTTATGCTCAAATAAATTGGTTAGTCTCTAAGGTGCCACAAGTACTCCTTTTCTTTTTGCAAATACAGACTAACACAGCTGCTGCTCTAATCCCTGTTTTCAGTTGCTCATAAGTTTATTTCTTTTTTGAAACTATCGATTTGGCAGAATTTTCCCAGTATTTGTGTGTCCCCCCAAAATAATCAAGGTCAGGTAAAGTATGAAGCAGGAGGAACTGAAATGGTTCAGCAGTTTTGAGTATGTGTACACTTAAAAAGAAACCCTGAGAAAACTTGAATGCTGGAGAAAACTTTTAAATAGCTCTGTCATGCAAATAATGGGGTCCAAAAGGTGAAATGTAGCCTGCAGCTAGCCCTCTCTGAAGTGCCCTTCCTTGGTCCAGAAGTTGTTTTTGATTTCACTGAGTTACGAGCCTTTGAAAATTGTGCAGTACTGTAGGTGCGTGGTGGTTTTTGCTTTGTTGTGTTATAAAACCTAGGCTTGTAACACGTACCTGGGCAGCACAAGATTATGTGGCTAATCTAGCATGCTGAAGTGCTTTTCTGAACTGGAGTTCTGTTGAGAGAAGTCTAGATAAACACCTGGGAAGGTTTGCCCAAAAAGGGAAGGGATTGAGGAAGGACTCCAGCAGACGCGATAAACTGTGGGGGGGGGCAGAGTTTCCATACGACACTTTGTCTCAGTACCTGAGGCCAGCTGGTAAAGTGTTCAGCATCAGGCTAGATTGTGCTGGAGACATTAAAGCCAGTCTCGTGATGCCTGTGCACAAGGGAGCAGAGTGAAGGCTGAAGTGAGGTCTGGTCTATACACTGGTTTTGTACTGGTAAACTATTTTGATTAAGGGTATGACTCTCTTACCAGTAGTTATACTGGTACAACCCCAGGTGTGGAGTTTATATCTGTATAAAAGGTGCTTTTTATACTGGCATCTCTACTTGTACAGGAAGGGGAAATAAGTTACACTGCTAGAAAGTACTTTTGAGTGCATCTGCACTAGGGGCAGGTGCCACTAAGAGGAGCAGTCTAGTAAAACCAGTATTTTCTGGGTATAGACAAGTCTTGAGTGTGCAGCCTCACCTCCAGCATATTCTTTTTTTTTTTTTTTTTTAAGCAGTGAAGCCTGAACAGCTTTTCCCAGGGAAGTGTCTGTTAGATCACAGGGCCTCATGTTTTGCTTCATATCACTAGCCTCCGGGCATGTTTATAGTCTTTTTAAAAACATGCTACAAAATAGAGAGCAGAACCGGATCAAAGTCAGCTTAAACTCCTAAGCCTCAGAAGAAACTCATGGCCTCTCATGCCACTTACTCAGGGCGCAGGTACAAGCCTCTGAGCATACCCTGAAAGTGGCTCTAGCTTGGTCAGACCAATGGAGGAAGAGTTTCCAGAGCCATGAGCCCATCAGCATAGTGTGTGTTCTTCCCTTGAGTTAACTAACCATCATTAGCTAATGGATTCAAAGAGAACTGAAGACATGCTAACACAGCTTCTTAGTCACATTAGCCACTCAAGTTCTGCCCCAGGCTCTTGAACCAGGTTAAAAGCTGAGTTGCCATGCCTTCACTACCATTGTAACCTGAGTTCAGAACACTTTTGCGGGGGGCAGTGTAGACATACACTAAGAATGCACTGTCCCTAACTACTTGCCTATGCAGAGTACAAATCAGGGGTCTGTCAGTATCCCATCTGTTTTCTGCTGCTACGACAACACCTTGGGTGTGTGGCGGGCACTCCAGCAATACCCGAGATAGATCTCCGTAGTTTAAGATTAGCACCTTGGATGCACCAGGAGACAGGTTGGTAGCCAGTGTGGTTGGTGAGATGAGAAATGAGTGAGTTTGAAGCAGGGATTTTCACTTCTAGCAAAGCAGAGAGAGAGCAGTAGCAGCACGTCTCACTGCATTCACAGTGGAGACCTTCACCTTGCTGACGGAGAAAGGTGAAGGCCAAGATCTCTCTCACCAGGGGATTAACTTGGAAGTAAGGAGGTGCCTGCCTTGAATGAACAACCATGTCCCCATGCTGAGTATTTGTCCCTAAACCAGTGCCAGTGGGCAGCAACTGCTGCGCATTTCAGGCAGGAAAGTGAATAGCTACTTCACTGTAACAAAACAAATGGTCCCCTAGGGTGGCCTCCTGTTTGAAGTGATCCTAAGGCCTGCCCTGGGCCCATGAATAGCTCCTCTCCGGAAGTTGCTTTCCTTTTGTTAACTGTGTTTGTCTTTCTCTCACAGCTTGCGAGGTCTAACTGCTTGGAGCACTATCCCGGATTACGCCGTGGGTCCTGCATTCTTCCGAGGAAACCTGCAAGTGCAGTATCTGCCTCAGGACACTTTCCTGAAACTCGAGGTGAGTCGCTCAGTTATTGTCTGGTTTTTTTCATATGGCTGAAGAGAGACCCTGGCATAACCACTCCAGTGGCAGCACCACATAGCACTCTTCATGGGTCTGTGGTAAAGCAGGCCACCCATGCAGGCTGCATAGAAGTCTGCTCCTAAAACTGCTAGCTGGCATGTTCAGTTAAACACAGCCTCCACCATCACAGGCCCTGCTGAGACAAACGTGGGTGATTCTGGCCTGCCCCTCTAACGGCATCCTGGCAGAGCTAGTAATGAGCCCAGCTTTACATAAATTAGGTGCTGTTCCTCTTCAGGTAGCAAAGGGTTAGTGGCTGTGAGCACAAACCTCTGAGTACCTGAGTCAAGTCATTTCCCTTCTCTGTGCTATCTGTAAAAGGGACAGTGCTGTGGAACCTTCGGACATGGGGTCTGAGAGTGGCGCTATCTGTGTACAGCACTGAAGAGGAAGTGCTGTGTGTATTGTTAAAATCTTGAACTCCTTCCTCTTGGATTTTATTTCAGTCCCCCAGTGCAATCTCTGTTCTTCAGGTCTCAGTGTAGTTTACAAGACAAAATATATAGATAGTTATAGCATGATGATGAACAGGCATTGCGTGAAAAGGGTGCAGGTGTAATGGTAGGGGAAGACCTCAAAGAGGCTCTGAAGGAGATGATATTTTTCCTTGGGAAGGGTGATTGGTTTGTTCGGTTTTTTTAATAAACCTGCTATTTGTTGTTGTTATCTGGCCCATTCAGAAGAGCAAAGCTAGAAGAGTTTAGCATTTGCCTTTAGAAGTATTACTTTGAGCCTCAGGGCTAACTCATCTCCAGCAGAAATGACTTGACAGGAGCCAGAGAGCAGGTGACTAGCAGAGGCAGGGGAATTGCCCTAACTCCCTTTGCACTTAGATGGTGGCCCCCAGCACCTCATTACCAAAGTTGTACATCTCCAGCCACATTATCATTCGTGCGGTTGCACAGGGGTAACTGAGGGCAAAAGTTCCACTGCCAATGGACCCAAGTAGCGATTCTCTTGTTGATGCACCAGCTTACTCTCCCTCAGCGGTGTTGGCACTGCAGTACCAACAGGAGTACAAAACCCCTGGGGAGGATGAGAGAGTGAACCAGACATGATAGAGGTTAGTCTCAGTGCTTTCATGTTCTCTTGGAAGGCCCTCAGATGCGACACCGATGAGGGCAGCAGTATTGACTTATTCGTAAAACTGCTCAAATTGTAAGAGGGAGAATGGTCCGGTAATTATTACACTAACCTCGGATTTGGAAAGAGCAGGTTCATTTCCCTGCTGTCTCACAGCATTCCTATATTACTGTGGGCAAATCATTTACTCTCACTGTGTCTCGTCACAGTTTTGTAGACGGGGAACGAACTCCCAGGAGTCTTGAGAATAAATATCCCAAAGATTGAGAGTTACTGTAGTAATGGAGGCTACGAACACCACCTAGCACATGGGGTCCCGATTCCTGACGAGGGCCTCTAGCTACTACTGCAAAGCAAGCCATTTGGTTTTTGGCCACTGCCCTTGGCAGATCCGGCTTGGGGACAGACCTCCTCAGGTAAGAAGGTACATTAGTGGCAGGATTGGAGTGGAATATGAGGGGTTTAAAATCTGTGTGAACAACTTGCTTTAAGAGCAGAAGAGGGATGTCTAGCAGCAGGTGGCCTGAAAGAACACTAGGGTCTTAGTGTCCGAGAGCAATTGCTTCAGTAACCCTGCTCTGCTATCTTTCTTGTAGGGTTGGGAAAAAGGAGTTGTGTTTGTCAATGGAGAGAACCTAGGGCGCTACTGGAAAATCGGACCCCAGGAAACACTCTACCTCCCTGCAACTTGGCTGCAGCCTGGGAACAATGAGGTGAGAGGCTCTCTATTAAACATGCTTATCTGACTCACGTCTGTCTAAGGCTAGCTAGGACCGCTCAGTGCCTTAAAAACTCACCTTAATCTGACTCTGCAAAGCATGGGGGGTAGCTCTTTCTGAGGTTGAGGTTCAAGTTAGAGCAGCACCATTCCTTGGCTATCAGTAAAAGAAAGGCACTGTGGTGAACACTGACTTTGGATCAGTATTGTATATAGAATTTGAAGGGCAGCATAACTTAAATAAAAAGCAAGACCACCTGACTTGGGATTGGTGTTTACTCTTCACTGCTGTGAAGTCTTAATACAGCCCAGGATGTCAAATGATGGGAGTTTGGGTACGTACTGGGACGGTATATTGATGACATTCCCTTCAATGGGAGCATCCTCCCCCAAAACATTTCCCCATTGGAAAAACAGTGATTGTCATTTTAAAGGGATTTCCCGCCTCCCACCCCTAATCTCTTTATTCCCTAGATTATCGTTTTTGAAGAGCGCACTGCAGGCCGGATCATACAGTCTGTAGATATGCCTTATCTAGGAAGGACCCACTATATGGACTGAGCAGGAGAACTGCCTCCCGTTGGGTTCATCTTGGATATTCCTTGGTGTATGTGTGGGGACGCATCAGTCCAAGTACAGACTGGTTTGTTAATTTCTGTTAGACCAGTGTAAAGGATTTGCTCCCTGGCAACAAGTTTAGGAGATAGACTTGGAGCACCCTGAGAGGTGAGTCCATCAATTTCTCCCAGGACATCGAGCTCTCCAGATTGGATCAGTGGCTGTGATGTAATGGACAATCCAGGGATAAGGAGTAAAATAGTTCCCTCCCCCACAACATCCTATCTGAGCTGAGCCCAGCCCCTGCCCGAGATTAACGCACTCTATGGGGGCATCTCTTGTTTGATTAAAAGGGGAGAGAATTTCTGGGATACATAGGAATGCTGTGCTGAGCTTTCAGGCAGAATTGAAACAGCCTTTTTGTGTAGAGAAGGGGCTTTGTTTGTTCAGTTTTTGGAATCCTGATTGGATGTTAACAGTTAATTTTTAATATTCTAAGGTTCTCTTCTGTGGAAAAAAGACCCAAACAATTTCTAATATTACCTGTGTTTCTCCTCTGTCAGCTCCACCAGAGCAGGACTGTTGTGTCAACCTAAGGTTCCAGTTCAGGCAAATTATGAACCTTCCAAAGAGCAAGTTCAGAAGGAGGAATGGATAAGGAGCCCACTGCTTTACAGTCTGTGTATTACTTAGCCACATGCCCACAGCTCCCCATTGACCTCAGGGGGAAAGGTGCATAAGTAAGGTTAGCATTATTTAGCCTTGAAAGGAGAAAAATGTCCTCCTATGTGTGAACAGGACCTAGATGTTTTAAAACTGATATAAACGGAATAAGGGATCCTGGGAAAGAAGCAGGGTGGGGATTATGTTATAACTCCCCACCCTGACAATCTCCAGATGGGTTCCCTGTTTGATAGGTCAGATGTTGCAGAAATGTTCAATGCAATATTTCAGATATTGAAAAGAGCCATTGCTAACTCTGAAAACCTGCTCACCTTCTTTTTCCCACTTAGGAAGATGGTTTAAATACCCTCAAACTCCCATGCTGTAGCTGTCAGTGTAGAATTGGCTGTGTCCAAGAGCTGCTCATCTCTCCTGCAACCAACATGTCCTCTGACCTAGAGGAGTCAGGTCAGTACTTATGGGAGCAGTTTAACCCCATTTAGATAGAGCAGTAAGACCTCACTACCATAACCACCTGGCAATGGCAGTAACAATCAATTTCAAGGGAATTTTAACCATTAAAAACCATATTTAATTTTATTTAACAAATTAAATACAGTTCAATTAAAACTGAGAACAGACAGTGCAGCTGTAATACACTCCATCCTCCGTCCCAATCAGTGCCTGTCTCGCCGCAGCATCGTAGCTCAGCTTTCCTGGCAATAACCGCCACACCACCTGGAAAGGCCTGGCTCCTGTAGCTGACTTTCTGAGGAGAGTGGAGCATATTTGTATTTGCAGGGTTGTCTGTAGGACTTAGTCCTTTGCATTTCACCAGGAGTTTTTCCCTACAGAGAATGGAAGGCTGCAATCCAGCAGGGTTATTAGAATAAACAAACAGACATGCAGCTAGGACATCAGTTGAAAACAACTTGAATATCATGAAAACTTTGTATCCCTTTTGAAAATTACCTCTTTGTTCACAGCCTGAGGGCTGCACTTGGGAGGCTTGAATAATAGTGGAATAAACCTGCTTTGATGCAGAGCACCACTGTTTAACATGAGCTAACAATGGCTGTTCCCAAAATGCAAGTGGATACCAGTTGCATAAAATCATTGCTATCCAGTTTGGATTTCAGCCATTGAATACAAAGGAAGGTTTTCACAGAAGCTATGTAGCAAGACTTCCATGATTGGAAACTAAAGAACCTTATCAGCTAAAGAAGGTAACTTTTTTCCCCAGTGATTGTTTTGATAAATACAACAAACAATTTTTTTTTAAATATTAGGAAATATAGATTTGGCATTAGTCCAATGAGTGATTTCTGCCCACTGAAGCTAATACTCTGCAAGAAATATTCTACATGTATTTTTTTATACTGTTAAGGGGTTAAAAAAATAAGTGAGTCTCTTTACAGAATTACATTTTTCCCTTAATTCACATGTAAAATTGTGCTTCAGACTTTTCCAAAAGAATGGGAGATTGATTAGATTTTTTTAGTCTTACCAGACCTAAGCAGCAATCTAGGAAAACCATTTTTAAAAGGGGGTGGACAGGAACTGATTTAACTTCCTTTTGTGTGTCAGCATCTCAGACACAGAAGCATCACCATAGAGACTGTGCTTCACCACCTTACACAGAACAGTCAAAAAACCCCACCCAAGTACCTTTCTCCTGCAGGAAGAAGCTTTGCACCACAATGGTTTCAGGTATTTGAAGTTGTTTGGGTTATTTTGTTCAGATTATTTCTTTTCACTCCACCCTTTGTGGAGTCAGGTGTTGGTGTAACAGTGAGACACTGTCGGGGGAGCTATAGAGCACACCAGTAATAGCAGGTATGGAACTGCTCCAGTGGCTTTTTATTGGTAGCATGATGTGGCCTTGAAATGGGACATATCGACACTAAATGTACTCAAGAAGGTGGGAAGTGGGTCTGTTTGACCACTGTAAAGAAGGAATCAGTGGAAATTAGACCTAGGGTAGGAGTTGGAGACAACAGCAGCATTCAGTGAAATGCTGAGTGGTTCCCTCCCATATTGTTAAAAAAACGCTTCTTGGAGGTAGGTGCGCACTTCAGGGAGCCCGACACCTAAAGCTTGGCTCAGTCAGGTTAGCACTAGAGATAGGCCTGAGATGGAGGATTAGGACCCATCTCCAATTAGTTTAGCATGGACAGTGAACATGGTCACAGGTGCTGTAAACAAATCAATACAAATACACAGAGGTATGTCAGACCACCCTCCAAGCCATAGAGCTGATGAAAGGGGGACAAGTTGGAAAGAGCAGAGATACTTTGTGGTTAGCTCTTACCTGCCTTGCTTTTCTCCCTCCCCAAAACCCAGTCTTGTGCAGTGTAATAAATACTGAATAACCTAGGTTCAAAATTAAGGGCAAAGGTGTCCTCTCCACAGCCAGAGAGCTGCTGAGGCTGTTGCACACAGACACAAGGTATATGTGTCTCCAGAAGAAGGTGTCACTCCTTGTGGTGCTTCTCATCCTTGCTATGACACCCTGTGAAACCAGCTCCAGGTGGGCCTCTTCCCAAGTGCATTGTGCCCTGCACATGCTCCTTCCAGTTCAAGCATCCTGCAGGCTTTGCACCTTGTACTGAAGGTGAGGTCTGTGCTGTTCCTCTGTCTCCAGAGGGCCCGGTTCTGTTCAGAGTCCAGGAGGAAGATAGGGAGAGTCTGAGCAGTGCAGGTATGGTTTGTTGTTCGAACTTGCTTGTTTTTCTTACATTTAAAACACTTGGAAGTCAGGAGCCGTCCTGGCAGCTGCTTGTGTGTCTGGCTGGCTGCTGTAGAGAGGAGCCTGCAGGATGAGAGAATCTTCTGCAAAGGAAAGACAACCAGTGGGTAGGTTACCCCTTGGCCTCCCTGCAGCTGTCCTTCGGAGCTGACCCAAGCCTGTCTGAGAACATGGTTTTTTGGGTGTTGGCAAAAGGAGTATGTGACAGGCCCAGAAAGTGATGTCCTCTCTACAAAAAGCAGTTGTATATAGCAACTGCAGTAACAGTGCAGGCTGCCACTGTGTCCCAGTGGAGCATGCAGTCTTTGAAATGCCCAGAGTGCAGCTTAGTGGGACTTCACTGTACTGTAGCAGGGTCCACAGGGTCTTTTACTGCATGGCAAGGTGGTGTGCTATACATTAACATGGCTTGCCATGCAGTAAGTTGCCTTGTGTACAAACCCTCATTGTAAAGTTTTCTTCTAAACCTTTCCCTGTTTCAGCACTATACTCTCCATTTCCTTCTAGCTTCAGGTTTTTTTTACTTTCACCACCCCATCCTTTCCCCACATACTTTCTACTCTCTCAAACTTGGCTTTCAGAGAGCACGTTCCTTGAAAAATTTCTCCAGTGCTCATTCTTTTCTCTGTCCTCTCCTCCCTCTGGGTAGCTACGGGAGGGTGTACCTGTTTGATCTCCGCTCAGCCATGCAGCATCAGATTTCCACGTTGGGATCTGTGAAGCCTTTCTTTCCCTCATTCACCAGCACGGGTTTTTCCGTCCTTGTGTGCCAGACTAGAATCTGAACCAAGCCCACAGAAGTCATTAGCTGCATCTCTGCATTATGCTAACAAATATTCTTGCACATTAAACCAATAGTGCTATTTAACCACATACCCTAGAGTGTAATGGTGCATTCACAGCCTTAGGCAGATTTGCCTGTGGCCACTGACATCTGAAATGCACCATGTGCAAAAATTACCCATTTGACAGGATACTGTCTCAGGCCATTAACCTGCTCCTTCTATCTATTTATCAACCAACCTCCACTAAAGACTTATCATCCTCTGCACTGATTTTGGGCTGTTTCATCACTATGGAATCAAAATTCTTGTTTGTGTTTACAGAGACAAACGCTCCCCCACCCCAACTCAAAGTGTCAAGGCTGCAGCTAGAGATGTAATTTCCAGCTCAGGTAGGTGTGTATGTGGTGACTTTGAGCTAGCAGGCTAAAAACAGAAGTGTAGTCACTATGCAGAGGCTAGCACCAGGGCCTAATCCTGTCTCAAGACCCTAGGTGTGCATTTGGGCAGCTCGCTGAAGCCGCAGCCTGTGGCTACTGCCCCATTTTTATCATGGTCACTTAATCAAATCTACTGCATGTATGTCTATCTGAGCTAGTAATTATTATACTTCTGCTGCACCATAGGCATATCCGTGGTGGCTGCATATCAAGCCACTGCAACAGCATCATCCACTCCCTGTACAACAGATAGCTGGGCTGAAAATAGAAAGGCACCTTGTTGCTCTGTACACTCCTTGTAACTACTAGGTATAACAGGAAGGAAACATTGAGTCATCAGTTCAGGCCGCCATCTGTACCTTTGAAAAAGCAGAACTGGAGGGGCTCTCACTTCCTAGTGGGAGCTTTTCTGTCAGCAACAGCTGGAGTCTACTATCCATTTATTCTTCTAAAGCATCCCCAAGAGACTGGGTGACTGTTGCTTAGGGATCTCTTCCCTTTCTTTTCTGATTCTCACACTGGCTCACAGAGAGAGACAGCCTTCAGTGCCCGATGTCTGCTTTGCCCATTTTGGGGTGCATGCACTGAGTAACCCTGCTGAAACACTAGGGACCAATGGGTTAAATTTCACACCGATCAGCCCCTCATGTTCTGCGCTGTTCATTTGGCCATCAAAATCACAGCTCGGGTATACCTGCCTGCTCTGGAAGTGAGTATGCCACAGCATGGGCTTCAGCACCAGCTACGTAGGCACTGTTGAAGCCCACACTGTGCATACTCACTATTCTTAGTGAGCTAATTCAGGTACAGCTCATAGAGGTCATGCTTCAGTGGGGTGAGGTACAAGTCCACCTTAAGTGCTCAAGGGGCATTAGTGCACGCTGCTGCTGCTCGAGGGCCTGAGCTGCAGTCACACCATGTGACTGCAGTGTAGACAGACACTGAGGTGTTGCTACTGCGCAGTGACCAAGCCAGAAAATGCTGTTCCTCCACTTCTCTACACTGTCTTAGGCAGTGGGCCATTACTTGCATTTGGGGGGGGGGGGGGTTTAAAGACCTATTAATCCAGTTTAATATTGTTTAGCCCTACTTACACTAGCCAGACAAAGCATATTAGTCTGCTGCTGTTAAAGCCTCTAACCCAATTTGAGCCAATTCATAGTGGCCAGCTAAACCGTACTGGGAAACAGTTCTGCACTGATCTCAGTGTGGTATACAATGTAGAACTGGATAAAATATAGTTAAGGGAACAATTTCAAAATTGTCAGATTCTGACTGTATTAATGAAAATGATAGTTGTTGGGGCTTTCCTCTGTAAAAGTGGCAGGGGAAGGAAAAATCTTTAAATCAAAACTTTCACAAATGAGAAATGTATTCAAGAAACATTTTTAATTTGGGGAATTTGTCTCACACAAGATTTCTAGTCACTCTATTAAAATGTCTAAGCAGACAAGAGCTGGAAGCTGGTTTACAGTCTGTACCCACACTAAAATAAAGGTTACTACTTATCCCTCTGCTCCTAGCACCTGCATTATGGTAGCAGTTGGGTCCCTTCAGAGCTACAGCTTCCCGCTTTTCTAACCCAGTTTGCATTGATATTTCTTACCTTGAAAGGGCTCCCCTCTTGTTGCTATGACAATACACTGCATGTTTAATCCAAGCTTCCATGATCCATCTTTTGTACTCAAAGGTGCTGGCTTGCTTTTCCTTAGACCTGCAAGAGCATGGTATTGCTTCCCAAGGATGAACTCAGCACGTTCCTCTTGCCTGTGGTTAAATACTCAGCTCTCTGTTACTCACAGCCTTCCAGTTAAGCCTGCAGGCTAAATTCAGTTCTGGTTTAAGCAGGCACAGCACTTGCAGCAGAGATCAATCTCTCTCTGCAACATTAATAGAGCTGTTTGCCTCCAACAACTGGAAAGAACCTGGACTGGGCTGCTTTCCCCACCCAGAGAATGGAACCTTTTTGTAAAACTTTGCCTTTTACGCCAGCCCCCTTTTTGCAATCGCAACAGCACAGAGCTTGGGGTCATTTCTATAATACTTTTTCATCAAGGTAAATACTGAAATTGAGCTCCCTATCTCTGATTGCAAGGGGCTTCTAAAAATAATATACAGTGCTTTGTACAACTCTTACTTAAGTCTTTACACCATGCTCTTCAGTAAGGTCACTGGAATTATCACCTAGTACAGAGCAACCATCAAATACAGAAACAGCTTTTCATTTCTCAGCCAACTGTCTGTAACTTTGAGGACAATGCATTTCCATTGCTATATACAAGGTTTGGATCATACATAAAAATACAACCTGTGTTATTAATACAGTAGTTCTACAGGCCTTTTAAAGTCTGCCCTCATGTCTCAAAACTTATTTTCACATTTGTATTATTACCGTGCTCGCAGCAACAGCAAAAAGACTTGTCTGTAACAGCCCTTGGCACAATGAGCGCTTTGAACAGTGCTTTACAAATCACAGGTGTCCCCCCTTTAATATCTCTCATGGGATTCACTCATGATAACTTGCAGCTATATCTCCTGTTACACATGGCTGCAGTATTTAAACCAAGGCAGTAACTGAGTTAAAGAATCAGAGGACCTAGCTGCATTGAAAGGGGGATAATTTAGTGGATGGGATGTTGCTTGACATAGCAGGGGGATTCTCTAAACCCTGACCAGAGGCAAATAAACCAGGCAAAGCTCAGACAGTAGCTATGACCATAGTTACTTTGCCATCAAGATTTATGCCCTTTTCCATCCAGTAAGGCTCAGAGAAGCCCTAATGGGACCAAGGGTTGAAGCTTCAAACAAAGCATGTGTGGCCCAGAAAAGAAAAAGGGTTAAAATAAGGCTTTGTCTATGCTAGGGCGTTAATACCGGCCCAGCCACTGGTGTAACTGCACCAGCACAAACCCCCTAGTGCAGTTAAGCAAAGGCACTAGTTGCACCAGAGTTTTGCCCTGCTCATAACTGGGATAAGCTGCCCTGGTGCAGGTGACAGCAGTTTAACCCTATGTAAACTCGGAGACTGCACTGGTGCTGATGGCTGAAATCTGAACATGTCCCCCATACAAAGCCTAAATTCTGCTTATCTGCAACCACTGCCTTAGAGTCACAGCCTCAGGGGCTTCCTCAGGCCTTTTCCTCCTGATTATTAAGTCAGGCTTAGCCAGTCTGGCACCAGAAGCAAGAGCGTGTGACCAATGGCAGCTAGAGTATCGAACAGCCCCTGCCCTAGGAACATCTGCAATCAATCCAAACAAGTGCAGCCCTGTAAGACTGGCGTCCCAAACACTGGGGAATAACTCAAGCAGAAAGGGAGAGTAAACCTGTCCTAGCAGATACTTGCTCAGCTCACAGAGAGAGAGAGAATAAATACAAATGGAGTTTGCCGATCTGATCTCCCCCTCCATCTGCACTGCATTCAGTGCACACACTTTATCACAGGAAATCTGACAAGGAAGGAAGGAAGTTATTCCCCAGGAGCCCCTCTCGCCTCCTGCTTTCATCAGTGGAATCCTGCTGGAGTCGCTCTGTCCTAGGGCCAGTTTGAGCTACATCAGATCTGTGACCAAAAAAAAAAAAAAAAAGAGCCAGTTCCTTTCTGCATCTTGGAAAATACATGGCGAGAACCAGGGTTCACCCAGATTCTCCATCTTACGTAGGGAAGGGATTTATTTCTCTTCAAAGAGCCAGCACAAATCCTGCAACAGCTGCAGTGTTGTTCTTCCATAGATGCTGGTGAGGAAGCTCCGCTCTTGCCCATCAACCCCATCCTTCCTAGCCTGTAGCCTTGGTGGTAGCTGGTCACACTTACTGTGGCATCTAATACTAGCTCTCTCTGTCCAGAAATACTCGGCCTCTCTCTAATCCTCTCAGAAGCAGCAGCAGCAAAACATCCCTGTCCAACACTAGGCAGCTGGCTGGCTGGCTTCCTTCACCCGCATCACCCAAACACAGTCTCAAACACACAGATTTAGCCTGAGGTTGGAGCCCGGTGCATAATGCAGCTGAGAGACAGGAGAAGGGGCAGAACGTGGGCGTTTAATTAAATGTGACTGATAAATTGCTACCCAAACCATTCAAAACAAAGGTCTGCCTCTCCCAGAGAAGCACATCTCCCCCCATCTCCATGGAGAAAGCTCTCTTTTCATTTTTTCCTCTCCGTATTTGCAGCTCCTGGCAGGGATTTCAGGGCTGGCTTCCTCCTTTTGTCTAGAAATTCCTGCAGTGCCCACACTTAAGATCATCATCTTTTCGTTCCCACTCTTTCAGGCAGGTATTAAGCCAAGGAGAGCAACACAGGACTTATTTATTGGCCAGTAAATAAGCTTTTTGCAGGCGCTTCAGTTTGTGTGTTTGAGTTGAGAGCGTTAAAAATGAATACCAGCGCAGCACACAGGGGACATCTAAGGAGGCATCAGGTAAAGGGCTGTCTACCTGTGTGCCTGTCTAGCCCTCATTAACCATCATATCGGAGAGATTCACAATCCTTAGTGTATTAATCCTCAACACCTCTGTGAAGCTGAGAAAAGTACCATTTTACAGATGGGAAACTGAGGCACACACGCTAAGGCCACAATCCTCAAAGGCCTTTAGGTGCCCAACTGCCACTCATTTTATCCCCTTCACTTTCCAAGGTCAGACAGGAAGTCTGTGGCAGAGCAGGCAATGGAGCCCAGATCTCTGGGATCACAGGCTGGTGCCCTAACCCCTGAACCATCATTCCTCTCAGGGCTGGATTCTGAACAAGCCTACACCCACCAGTGGTGATGCTGAGGGTCTCAGCACAGCTTAAATTACTCTCCTTCCACCCCCGCAAGAGGTCACCGCAGAGCCGTTCCCATTAACAAGGTCAAGTTTCCAAGCATGCATTGCCCCTTCTTAGCTACCCTAAACCCTGCTATCATCACTCTCCAGGCATACAGACTGCTCAGCTCCTGTGTTTAGAAGGGGAGGCATCTCTGCTGTCGTGCCCTCGCTTGTTGTGTAGAATTCTCTGAGCTCTGCCTCTGCTGAATTTGGTCTCTGTCTACCTCACGCTGGGCCGATGAGTTATGTGATAATTGCTGAAGGGAGGCTGGTGGCAGCTGGAAGCAGAGACACAAAGCAGGACACCCGAAGTGCCGAGAGTTGGTCAGGATCACAGTGCGTCCGGCTCAAAACCGAGTCCCTGTGATATCTCCACTGCCTTGTCACAGAGAAAACAGCCCGCTCCTAATCTCAGCTGCTGTAACCTCTTCAGTTCCTGGCCCATAGCACAGAAGTTGTCTCCTGTCTGACTCAAGGAACACGATCTCCCCCTTGTCTGGAAACAAAGTCCTGACAGCGTGTCCCACCGCAGCTGGCCTTGCTCTCGCCCCAGCTTTCCAGCACGATGCCTTACTCTGACAGCTACCGTCACATCAAAAGCTGCTCTTCTGTGTGTATTTCTAGAGGCAGCATAGCCATTGCTGCGCCAGCTTCAGGCTCGAAGCATTTGCAAGGAAGCTTTGGCCTGACATTGGATTCCCTTGCCTGCTACACCCTGTCCGTTTACCGTTCTAAGAGGGAATCAATCTGGAGTGCGTTCTACACAACATGCCTTCTCCCCCCATTCACCCTAGCATTAGATCTCACTTCTGACCTCCCTCCGCTCTTAGGACACATTGTCACTGTCATGTTCTTGTTAGGCAGAGCAGCACAGAGGGTGAGCAGAGCAGATGGACTGTCTGATGCAAACGTCCCAGTCAACTCTGCTTCATGCCTCTTTAGCTCTGCCCTGGATCCCATCTGTGCCACCACACCCCACATGGATGCCTGTTTGCTTCCCAGCATAATGCAGGACATTATTCTTTTCCTCCTCACCTGTCTAAAACCAATGCTTTCCTGCAACATCTTTTGAGAAGCGGGAGCATAGCTGCAAATTCACTTTGGTGTTCTCTACTATACATGAAAATGAAACTGCAAGGCAGCACATTTCATATAGGAAATGCTCTTCCACACAATGCATAATTCATCTGTAGAACTCACTGTCACAGGACAATGAGACCAAAAAAAATTAGATATTCATGTAAACAGTAAGGATGTCATGTAGAGTAACCATAACTAGCAGAGACATTTATAAAGGGGATAAACCCTCACACTCAGGGCAGAAGCGAGCCACTAAGGCCCTGAGCTTAAGATGAAACTTCCCCACTATGTATTTTACTTCATAACCCATTTATGGGGGGGGTGGGGGGAGAGCAGGTTGTGTCTTTCCTTGAAGCATCTGGTACCAGCAACTGCATGAGACAGGATATTGGACTGGATGGGCATTGGGCTAACCCTGAGGGATGGGAGATGGGATACTGGCCTGGTTAGACAACAGATCTAATCCTATATGGCAGTTCCTATGCTCCCTTTTCAAGTTTCTGCATTTCCTTGCAATTGTGATTAGTGATAGATGCAGAAGAGTGGGTCCATGTACCAGAAAGAGTCCATACCTTAGTGCAATTGGCAGCTTTCGGCTCAAGGTCATTCAAGGTCACTAATTCCCGGAGAAGGCTGCTCTCTTGGTAGCCACCCTTCACTCCTCGCAGTTTGAAGTAAGCCTGAGATCGCTGGAGTATCAGCCTGAGGTTCACAGCAAAGCCCGCCATGTCGATGGCAAACGGGCGGTGGGGGTCGAAAACAGTCTTCCAGCCATACACCTTCCCCGCTGCATTCACTTTGGGTGACTCGTAGCGCAAGCCACCCACAAAGGCCACCGGCCACACCGACACCTTCCTGGTGGTGCGCATCTGGGGGCAAGGAGAGAGAAGGGCACAGTGAGTGCGTGGAGTGGTGTAGGAGGGGAGAGGACACCCGCTCTGACAGTTGCTAACACACACACAGTGTTCAGTCCCAACGACTTAAACCACATATGCAACGTGCAGGGACTCTGGACAGTCCCCAGCAAGACCTCTGCGTGCACTGCAGCACCAGACCTGGGTGTTCTGAAGCAGGTAAAGGCCAGTGGACACGGAGAAGCAAGGCACTATAAATGAAAGCCAGGAAGGCTGGGTTCTGTTCCCAGCTCCACTTCAGGCTCCCTTTGTGACCTTGGCCACATACTTTAACCTCTGTATGCCTCCATTTGCCCAACTGTACAAGGGGATAAGCCTTGCATTGCAGGGTGGCTAGCAAAGTGCTTTGGAGAGTCTCAGGTAAAGATGCTAGCAAATATGCATATGCGCAGTTATACTAATTATTCCTGCTGAGACCTCATTGTGGCAAAGGCTTCATGCAAGGAACAAAGTAGCAAATAAGGGTTACAGCCAAGGTTTTAAAATCTGCTTTTCATCCACAGGTCTCAAAGCGCTTCACAAAGATGGGTAAGCATCATCATCCCCATTTACAGATGGGAAAACTGAGGCATGGGGGCAGAGCTTGTGCAGTGTCACATGGTGTGTTAGCAACAGAGCTAGGAAGACTAGATTTCTGGAAACTAAACTGTAGAGGAGAATTAGCATCCAGTGATATTCAGGGTAGCCTCCATTTTGTGAGTCACCATTGATGGGAAATGGAATAACATTTGGAATGAGGTACTACAAACGTGGTTCTCAGATGAGGGGCAGTTTAGAAGTCTGGCTACCTAGTAAACTCCGAACAAATAGGATGAGGTTTTGCAGCAATTTATCCCTTGTCTTGTCTCCGCTCTGCTGGCAGGAGCATGCTCCCTCTGCTGCACCTTCTGCTTTTCATCCAGACCCTCAGACTGGGGATTTCCCAGTGCTAATCTCATGAATGCTAATTACAGTGAGAGACCTGAAGAGCTGAAGGCACTTGCCCTTTTGCATTACACACATGCTAATGGCAGCCCTTATCCACAGGAACTAGTCCCCCATGTTTATTGTGCAGCCCCTTTCACTGGCTGCTTGGTGCCTTTTAATGCAGGTAGGTTTCAGGGGGAGGAGGGGAGAGTTGTCAACCCTCCAAGATTGTTCTGGAGTCTCCAGGAATGAAAGATTAATCTTTAGTTAAAGATTACATCATGTGATGACACCTCCAGGAATACGTCCAATCAAAATTGACAACCTTAGAGGAGAGGAATCCAGAGACAACATCATGTCGGTTAACAAACGGGCCCTCATGCCTTCTTAAAAGGTAGTGTTCATTTCAGGGTAGCGCTTGGTGCTGTAGCTAGAACCTGCCACAGAGAAGGAAGTAATGAGGCAGCTGGATTGAAACAGCATTCAGCCTGGTCTGCCTGTAGTCTTACATACAAACCTCATTTGCTGGGTTCTTTGCTATGGGATTTAGGTCTGTGCCAAATGGCCAAGATGACAACCTGCCCCCTTGACCTCAATACACCAGTCTGTGCAAATGAATGCAAGATAAAATAGAAGACCTTACGAAACAGGTGGGGGGGGAGAGAATAGGTGCCCCTATACCATGGTGATGGGTGCAGTATATGTACCTCAAAAGAGAGGCTGAACAAGGGACCCTCTGGCATGGCAACTAGTGAATGAGGAGGAAGGGGATCATCATGTCTTGTACCACAAGAGCTTCCAGGAGCGCAAGGCAACAAATCATATCAGAACAGTGACTACATGTCTGCAAGTGTGTTCCAAGGAGGTCGGGGGGGAGATGGGGGGAGGTTCATAGGGGTGTAGAACTAGCAGTGAAGGGGTGAAACTAAAAAAACACTTCTGCTCAGGTTTCCAAAGCCCTTTGCAAATGTTAAGCAGGCCTCATGTCATGGCGGTAAAGGTGGTGTTACGATACCCATTTAATAGTGGAGGAGACAGGCGTAAAGGAAGGAAGGAGGGTCCTGTGAGGAAAGCACGGATTTGAGACTCAAGATGCAGGTTCAATTCTTGCTTGTGCCACAGTCTCCCTATGTGACCATTGGCAAGTCTCTTCATCTGTGCCTCAGTTTCCCAATATATACACACAATAGGGATAATGACCCTTCCCCCTACCCCCACGAGGATAATTTTGTTAATGTACGAGACGTGCACAGGGATTGCAGTGATGGGGAATAGATAGGCACCTGCGCAGAAAGCAGTGACTTGCCTTCTTCCAGAGGATCTGTGGCATAGATAAAACTAAATGCCAGGAGTCCTGGCTTGCAGCTCTAACCACTTGAGACACTATCTCGCAAAGGATATTTAAAACAATAGTGAATTTAAGAGCCTCCAAGGGACGTGGTGGGAGCCTCATTGCCAGGGATATTAAAAATGGACTGAAACATAGTGCAGAGAAGAAGCCCTTGCTGTTTAGAAGGATGGAGGCATGATCTTTCCTGCCCTTAAAGTCTCTGGTTCCCTGTGAAGTTATTCCTGTCCCCTTGTCAATGTGATGATGGAACCTAAAGAATCTGTCTTTTCTGGGGCTGATGAAAAGCTGCATTGTTGGGAACATAATCCTGCCTCTCCAAAGAGCACTGACAGTCTCATGGGGACACTAAACCCCGAGCTGTAGGCCAGATGCAAGGCAGAGACAGGAAACCTGTTCTGAACGAACAGACACAACCTCCAAACAAATAGAATCCTTCCCTTTGGAACATGTTTGTGCTGGAGCAGGGACCGTCAAATACACTCCATGCAGACTTCATACTAAGCTCCCTATCTTCAGCCATTATCACCCACCCCAAACTCACAGAAATGTAGGGCTCAAAGGGACCTCGAGAAGTCAGGTCCAGCTCCCCACACTGAGGCAGGACCAAGTAAACCTAGACCACCCCGACAGGTGTTTGGCCAGCCTGTTCTTAGCAGAAACCTCCAATGACGGGGATTCCACAACCTCCCTTGGAAACCTATTCCAGCCCTTAACTACTGGTATAGTTAGCAAGTTTTTCCTAATAGCTAACCTAAATCTCCCTGGCTGCAAAATAACCCCATTACTTCTTGTCATACTTTTAGTGGACATGAAGATCAGCAATCACTGTCCTCTTTATAACAACCCTTAACATATTGGAAGACTTACGTCCCCCCTTCAATCTTCTTTACTCAAGACTAAACATGGCCAGGGTTTTGTTTTTTTTTTAAACCTTTCCTCACAGGTCTGGTTTTCTAAACCTTTTATCATTTTTGTTGCTCTCCTCTGGACTCTCACGAGCCTTCACTTCAATGAAAGTAGCATCATTGTTGGGTGGTATAATACACTGTGAATAGAACCTTTTGAGGTTCAATTCAGCAGCATCTCTTGAAAAAGAGAGTGATGCCTCCCAGTTGAGATTAGGTTCGCACATCTACAGGCAAGGCCCAGAGGGAGGTGCACTACAGATCAGACCAGGTTTCATGCTTATCTTCTGTAACATCTAGATGAGCATGATTGCACATGTACACACACAAACACGCAGAACAGACATGATGGGAAGAGAAATTACGAAAGGACTCAGATAAATTCAGTCCCCTCTCAAAGCCACTTCTGGAAGGAAACAGTGGAAGACATCAAGGATGAGATTTTAGCTGTCTCCCTGAGCTGAATTAGAAAAACCTGGGAGCCCATTTGTCTCTGGATGCTGCAAATCAGCAGCCCCAGAGGCGAGCACTGCTTGCATGTTTACAGCCTAGGTTTAGTCAACTCAGTGGCAGAATCTGAAGGGTTACGCTCTTCAGAACAAACAAGTATTGACAAACGCCTGCTTTCCATGTATGTGCGGCAGCCTGGGGAGACAATCGCACAGTGCGTCTCTGAACAAGATGTCCTGCAAGGGCAACCATTGTACTGCCTGACTTTGTTCAGAGAACGTTGAAAGGGCTCTATTTACCCAGAGGGATCTATGCAGAGCAGGCTCTTGCCAGAGACAGAATTTAAGTAATAAAGGCACAGAGGTGGGGGCAAGCAAACAGTGAGGAAACAAGGGAAAGCCCAATGATGCCTGAAGTAGGATGGTACAAGCCAAATGGAGTGTGATCTGGGGAAGATGCCCTCGGTACAGGGTCAGGGCTAAATTCCCCCGTAAAGCATACGGAAGCACAAAGCCATGTAAGTCCTATTGCCAGGACTTTGGTGGGATGCAAGTGGCAGTTGTGCTGGTGCTCTGTACAGGGGGGAACTTCGCCCCCACTGACCAAGAGAGCATGCTGCAGCCCAACAAGTGAAAGCATTGTCCAATACATGCCGACTGGGTGAGGTGCAAGGACTCCTACACAGCTATCTAGGAAGGGATATTTATAGGCTGGTCGCAGGCAGTGAAAGCTGTTCCCAAACTGAATGGGAATGTAGAGACCATTCAAACTAGACCTGGGTCATGCAAGTCCCAGTTATTTGAAACCTGCTTCAACATATCTCTTGTGTCCCAGTCCTGGACTTGAACCACAAGCCCATCCTCCAGCCCTTACTCATGAGAATAGTCCCGTTAGCTTCAGCTCAATTACTCGCATGAGTAAAGGTTGCAGGGTCAAGCCCTAGGTGCATTCTTGGAACTCCTGTCTTGTGCCATAGTTTAAGATGTCACCATCATCCCTTGAGCCTATCGCCTTGGATCACACTGCAGTAAACCCATTGCTCCTTATTCCTTTGCTGAACCTATTCATTCCACAGCTGCCCTTAACTTGCATAGCTACCTTCCAGCCCTGTGAGCCATCTCTAACACAGTCACTGTTTTAAGGACATTAGAGGGTATATTACCGCCATCCAGACCTGTCTCTCACATGCACACTCACCTATGCTTAGGCCCAGAGAGACCAGTGAAGGTTTCACAGTGGATGCATTTCCAGACAGTACTAATTAAGCGAGAAGCAACCATAACTCATACTTCTACAGCTTTGCAAAGTAGAGAAAGAGAGGACTGGAGGAGCCAACCAGATGGCTCTACCCTGAACAGCTTAGATGATGCCAGAGAGCTTTCCATTTAAGACAATTAAGGGTCTGATCCTGCCAGAAGATCAATGCTGCCGTGTGGTGCTGCCCACCATTCCCACAGAAATCAGTGAAGCAGACCGGCTAAAGGGGAATGATGGGAGCAGGGAGTTCATACAAGGGGGCAGCATAGACCTGGGGCTCATTGGAAGGAAGTGGTAACTGAGGGTCACAATGAATCCAAGATGATGGGCTCTGCAACTGGCACAAACAGCAATGCCCGGTACCCCCTCCCCCATCCATAGACCCCTCACCCTAATGTGGGGTCTGCACTACTTTTCCCGTGGTCCCTTTGACATTAGCAAATGTGCTCCATTTTCACTGCCTGGTGCCCGGGCGCCAGAGCATGCTGAGAGGTGGTTTAAATGACATTGCTTTAGGGGTGTATTTTACTTAAACTAAGTGGCGATGACAGGCCTTGGGCTCAGGAGAGTGTGTAACCGTGTTACCTGCTGGCTGGAGCACGTCACTGACACCAAGTGCCTTGTTACTCTGTGCTGCAAGCAGTAATGTTGTTATGGATGCTCCTGTGCTTGGCCTCCGGGGACCTGTGTGGAGGCCTGCAAGCTCAGGGAATGGGGATGGAGGGGAGCGTAACCAGCTGAGCAGGCCCTGCTTGCATCTTACCTCCTCGAAGAGCTCCAGGCTGTAGGTGTTATCGTCGTCAGCGAAGTAAACAATCCCAGGTTGGCTGCTGTTTTTGTTAAAGGTCTCTCTCAGCCACCGCAGGGCCAGGTTCCTCTGCATGGTCCCGCGGGGGATCCTGGGGTCCCTCATGTCTCCCCGCAGCTTGTAGTTGCGGGGCGTCTCCACATTGAGGTGGGTGTAGTTCAGCCCTGTGTCCCGCAGCAGCCGGGTGACGAGGGGGGTGCGCCTCTGAGAGTCCTCCACCAGGATCCAGTGCAGGTTGGGCACATGCAAGAGGGTGTTGGCCAGACGCGTCAGTTCCGCCTTTTGCACCGGCCGACTGTAGGTGGGGGTGATGATGTGGATGGTAGGGAGGGTGTCCGACCATGGGGGCGGGCGGGTGTAAACGTACTCTGTCCTCACCACCTCCACAATGTCGCGGTCTGACAGGCAGTACTCCTTGGAGTCCGAGCCTTGGGCCAGATCACGCCTGGAGTCGCCACCCTCATCTGCACAAGGGCATGAGAGAAAGAAAACACATACAGTCAGTCCTCTAACAGTTTCCTCTACACCACTCCCTCGGCAAAGCCAGCAGGCAGCTTGCTAGCAGGGGAGGTCACCCTCTTGGTCTGAGAGCAAAGGAGACAAGCTGGAAAACTGAGGCCTTTTGCAAGAAACAAAGAACCCACAAGACAGAGATGGCAGCTGGTGAACTAGCCACATGGGCAAAGTTCTGACAGCTCCAGGCTAGCGGGAGGGAACTGCTCAGAACAGCAAGCTTTGAAGGCCCAAAGATACAACAATCAAGTGCGACATACGGGTGTAGAATAACAGGTACTCCGACACTAATACAGCACCTTCCAACCCCAAAGGATTCCAAAGTACTTTGTATTCCATGCCCCGGGGCAGGACTCTGCAGCTGTGCACAAATGCATAGCAACAGCTCAGGACAGCAAGTGAAGAATACCATAACCAGTGGGAGCTCCAGAGACAATATGGGTCAGCACAATGGAATTGGCTTCCGTTGGGATTTGGCCAGGGTAACATTGTATCCCATTTAGGAGGTGCTCCTTAAATCCAGGCACTGAGCTGAGATCTTGAAATATGTCACCTAGTCACATCACAAGTGTTCACACAGCTCTGACTAACCTTCCAGGTGGGGCCTAGGGTCTTTTGAGGCAATCTCCTATTTGGCTGTTCCAAAGTCCTGGTCAGGAATCTTGCAGGGATATATGCAGGATGTTACAGATACAAACACCACAACTCTTGCAACGAGTACAAACGACCAGGACTTCAGAATCCCTTGCCAAGAGTTTCCCTCTATATTGGCTAAGACGAGATAAACCTTCACATGTGGGCTTTGCTGATTTCGATTTGTACTTTTTTTATAAATTTTGACAGATTTGTTGGCATCACGTCTTAATACACAAAGTAAATATCCTTAACTCAACCTCAAACAATTTTTTAAGCAGCATTTTTCTTTCTTTGCCTCCCTGTACATTTTGATTATTACGGATGGAAACCTTTTGTCTGCTTGCATGCACACAACAAAACTGACGTTTACCAATAAAAAAGAAATCCTTCCAAGCCTACCCATGTTTGCCATTTCCAGGGCACTGCAGCCCTCTCATCAGTACCATTAAGAGCATAATCTATAATTACACTATGGATGATCAAACTTAATGAGAGATATCAACACTTACGGTCCAGGACATAAGCCAAGTATTGTCTGCAGGGCATGTGATAATAGTGTAATATGGGGTTTTGACACTTCCCAACAGTGGCAAGTACCAGAGGACAAAAGGATACAGGAGTAGATGGACCATAAGTCTGACCCACTAGAACAATTCCTACATTCTTGGCATACTCTTCTATGTTATTCTGCATCACCCATCAACCTGGATGTTGGGGGTAAACACCACAAGTGACTTAAGACCCAATATGTCAAGTAGCTGATCATCCCCAGCGCCACTGAAAACTGATGGACAGTTCAGTACCTGCCAGGATCAGGCCCTTTCTAAGATAAATTGCCTCCACTGTGCACAGCCTAGCAGTCTAGAAATCTGAAACACGGGAAGCAATTCACACCCTGAATAAACTGTGAACTGTATTTGATAGCACAGAGGCAGAACATAATTAGACAGAGTGGAACTTGGCCAGGACGCATGGGTTCGTTGGTCAAAACCTTAGCTTTAAATCCTCTGGCACTTCCACTCCTCACATACCATGCTGGCCAACACTAATTTGCTCTTCTCATCTCTGGCACCTCCCACTCAAGTCTTTCAAAGCTACTTTACAAATATGAATGGATTTATCCTGCACACCCTTCTCAGGCACACCAATGTCTTCATCCCCATTGTACAGATGAGGAAACTGAGGTACAGAGCATGGAAGCGTTTTGCCCAGGGTGTGCCAGTGAGTCAGAAGCTGGGCTGGGAAACAGGACCCATTCCCAGTTTTGTATCATACACTCAAGGCTGCCCTTCTACCTTGCAGGTCACTGTTCATTTATAGAAGTGTCTCCTACCTTCCAGGGCACTGAGCTGAGCCTGGAGGGGTGAGGAGACGGAACTCCATTTTCCTTTAATAGCATCAACACACTCGCCTTTCAATTCCAGTATGCTCCTCTTTGTTGCAATGCACTCCTCCAGGTTCGTGGGGAGAGCTCTCACCCACCTGAACCTCTCGGGGTGAGGGGGACCTCTCGGGATGGGGGCAGAACTATAACTTCTCTCAGAGCTGTCCTGAGCCAGTTCTGTGGCAGAGTAATACAGAGGAGCCCTTCTCCTACAGTTCATAGAGGAGAGGAGGTGAAGCCACTCAAAAGGTCTTAGAGCTGCTGCCAGATTTAAATAGCACATCAGACTACAGGTAGAGAGTAAGGCAAAGCCACACCAAATTGAGAGGGGAGAAGGGGACCTGGTGGACAGTGAGAGGTAAGGGGAAGAGAGTTTAGAACATTGGCAAGAGATGGGGAAACAGAGCTTAGCTCCCTCCCTACAAATACACCGGTGCTCCTCTCCAAGATAGAACCCAGGAGACAGCAGGGCCCAAGGAAAAGGCAGAGGGGGGATACTGGCAAATGTGCTGGGCAAGGCGGCATCTTCCCGACGCTGCTTGTGCTCCTTGGACATTGGTGCCACTCTGACAACAGAGCAAAAATTCACCACCTCAGAACCATCCACCCACATCTGATCTCAGCTACTCCAGACCAGAATTCCACTGTATGGCTTGGGTGCTCGGTAATTTAGAGGCTGCCTCTCTCCTGAAGTTCTAATCCAGATGGGGAGACAAGCAGGAAGTCCTGAGCTCCCTCTCCCCAGGCCTATGCCTCTCAGCCAAAGGCCCTTGACTCAGGAATGCACTACCCAGCGTCCCCCTTCTAGTCCACTGCTCTTTACCCAGCTTGTTTGGACGCCCTGGAGGATATTTTCTGTTGCATTTATCAGCATTGCTTCGGCTACTGTTTTTATTGCAAAATGTGTCATTAGCTTCTACAGGATGAACTTCTGCAGGGACCATCAGAAGGGATTTCCTCTTTCCACTCTCGAACAGGAGACACAGTGATGAGTAGGAAACACAGCCGTTGGGCATTGGTCCACATCTTCTTTTAAGGCTCTGTCTTACAAACTGTATATTTATGACCACGGGAGCTCTCCAGTTCCCAACAGTAAACTGCCCAGCTTCCAAGCCACAGGATCTGACGCTTAGCAAGAACCCCCCAAGCTCTGGGCTTTCCCTGTAACAGAGCAGGGGAGGCTGCTGCCTGAGCATGGACCACAGGTGGAGATGAGCATGGCTGTCATGAAAGGGATGGAATGAGACATGGGGATGTGGCATGGGCTGGTCAGTTTCTCTCACCCTTGTGCACTGCAAGCAGCGGAGCAATGGTGCTCTGGTGCCAGACGGTGATTAACAGCGTCCAGGGCAGAACTATCAGCACGATAGCCAGGATGTCTCTTCTCTTCGGCATCTCCAAGACTGACTGGACCCACAGCTCCTCATTACCTGACAGCGAAAACCCCAGAGACAGAACAGCAGAGCACATGGAGAACAGAAATAAATGGGCAAGAAGGAACAAGGACAGAGAGAGAGCAGCAAAGGCAACACGGCTCGCAGGTCTTACCAGTGCTCACAACCCACCCATTGCAGAAGCAGGTTCGGAGACGCAACGGCTGCACGGACTGGAGGCCACGCAGGGAGTGCTTTCACGGGGCGTAGCCTGAGCCACTGGTGGGAGCTTCAGGAACCCATCAGGAAGGAAGCCTGAAACACAAAGTAAAGGAGAATAGGCAGAGAGAAGCTCTGGGAACAGCTGCCCTTCAGGGACACCACCCTGGTGCTAACAAGTCCTCCCTGGGAGGAAGGAGCCTGAGGAGCTGCCAGGGAGGCAGGAAAAGAGTTGTCTGGGTGTTCAGGGCTTTGCATTTCCCATGCCCCAGAACAGCCAAGCAAGCTCCGGTTTCCAAGAAGTGTAGTGCCTCTGAGCCCTCCCCCAGGTGAGAAATGGGCACCTGGGCATGAGCTTTAGGCAAATAGCTGTGTGTATGGATCCCAGAGCATATCCAGCATATGGCACCTGCCTTTGTGGCCTGCATTAGCCTCTTGCTCTCCCACAGGAGCCCTGCAGCAATACACCAGCCTCCATGAGCTGTAAACAGCCACATCACGTTCTGACCTCTGCAGATTTGCAATCTGCTTTGCTACTAGCAAACTCTAAAAGGCCCAAGCAGCAGGGCGTGGCCAGTGAGAAAAAGGCCAACATTCCGCACCCCTGTATGGTAACTGTTCCCAGCTTTACACAGAAGAAAGGAGAAATACGGGAGTACCCTAGCCAGTGGGAGGCACTAGCCAGTTTGGAGGGGACAATAACTAGACCTTTACATCTTCAGAGCATCTCTTGTCACTAAGCAAGCCTCAGGAGCCGCCTCCGAGGTGCTGCTCCCATTGTACAGGCAGGGAAGCAGAGACCCAGAGTGATTAAGTGACTTTCCCAACATATAAACCAGCGGTAGAGGCAAGCTTAGAATGCAGGAGCTGGTTCCCAGTCCTGTGCTCTGACCACTGAACTGCACTGCTCTCTGCCAGGTGGAGGGCTTGGCAAAGAATCCAGTGCTACCCCCATCTGATGGGAGATCTTCATTCAAATGCTATTGGGGAGGTTGCTGCAATGCCATGGGTTACTCTGCACATGTCCCTAGAACAACCCCAGTGCAAATCGCCTAACCCCTCCAACTCCCATTTCGGCCACCTGGAGGAACCTATTCCCACAGCCTCCGGTCCTCCTGCAGACTTGCTCTGCATTCATTTCTTCCCTCTCTGAACTGCCAGGACTGAAGTATATTAAGCTGCCACACTGGCTTAGTCTGATTCAATAGAAGCACACACAAGTTTTAAGCAGACTGTATTTTATCTGGGTGTTATCTTGGCAAGCAGTGTACAGCACTTAGCCGGCACATGCAGGGTGGACAGTTTGCAAACACAGAAAGCGGTTTAGTGCACTTGCTCCCTGGGGGGAATGGCTTAGCCAGCCACACAAACCCCTGCATTGCAGGTGACAAGGGGGCACCCAGGGAATATCCTAGCCAAAGGCGGGGGAGGATCTGATACAGGGTGAGTTGCCCTGGGTTCAGGAAAATAGTTGCCTACATAGCAAAACCTCTGATTTGTCTTTTTCTCCTTCATTGTTGTACTCTGGAGCCCTCACCTTGCTCACTTCTTAGGTTGAAGGGGAGTCATCTGTCCCGTCCCCCCCGCAAACACACACACTGTGCTGGGACATTAGGATATCTACAGATGCTTGTATGCACGCTATAAACTGCACATCCAAAGATTTCTCATTGGTGGGACATGTGCTATTGTACATTCCAAAGATGTTGCAGTGTCCTGAACAATTTGGTCTGATCTGCAGGTCCATTCTGTCAAAGTACCATGCCCTTCTGAGGGCTTATGGCACACACACTAGGCCTCATTCAAGCATCTTATCACAGGACGCATTCTGTATAATCAAAGTCACCACCTAGCCCGGTAGTAGATATATTAGGAAAAGGACAGAGCCCAATAACACTCAGGGGGCCTGTGAAGGATCAGGAAAGCTGCAGCCAGTGGTGGAGGATCTCATCTATTGGAATCAAGCTTCCCATTGCCCCATCATCATAAACCAACAGGAAAAGGCTTTCACAACCGGTTCCAAGGTGGAGTCCAGGAGGCGCTTTTGTGGCCAAACACGCTCCTAGTTGCTCAGAGAGTGCCTCCTTCAGCTTAGATTTCTCAGCACCAGAGAGAGCAGCTTTGTCCAGACAACATACACCAGGGACAAAGGGAGGCTTCTTGCCAGCAAGGATCTCCCTTTCACACAAGCAGAGGCTGGCTCCAAAGCCAGACAGGGTCCTGGCAGTCTCCCCGCGCAGACAGCACCTTGGGGAGATCAAGTCTTATCCCAGCTGGCCTCATCCTCTTGCCCTGGTGGTTTCCTGAACACAGGGAAGAGAGCTCCGGGGTCATTAACCCTAAGACCTGCACCCACTTACATAGCCAAAGCATCTGCTCTTCGGAATACAACCTTAAAGTCTCTCCACGGGACATATCCAATGGACAGCTCCTGTGGTGTGCGGCTCTCGAGGGACTGAACTCCTTGCTTAGTAGAGTACCTATGTTGTGAATGCACTGAGCAACAGCTGGTACCACTGGAAAGCTGGAAGAGAAACGGACACACTAAGGAGCTTCTGAGAGCCAATGGACAGCAGTTGGCAAAAGGCAGGCACCTCAGAATTCAGTGCTCTAGCCTTAGAAGGTGCATCCACATGGGAGCAGGTCTCTTGTCAGGACAGTACCAGCCACAATGGGGCCCTGATCCTTGGTTGAGATTCCTAGGCATCACCAAAATAATAATAGGACTGCAGGCTGGAAAGGGCATAACAGGACCAGAGGATAGTGAAGAAATGGTCATCCTAGAATGGGATAGCCACGTGCAGGGCAGAGCAGAGCAAGAAGAATGCACCACTGCTCTGGTTGGGTACCCCAAGCCTCACTAGGTTTAGGGAAGGATGAGTCTCTGGGCCAGCCTGCTTCTGCTTCCTTCCCTTTAGCCAATGGGTTGACACAGGAATGAAAGAATCCACCTGCTGGAGGAATTCCCCAGCTAATGTTTATCATTCAGATTCAGAAAACCAAGTCGGAGGGGCGCAGTCAGACAATATTCACTACTCCCCCACTGAAGGGCAGTGATGGCTGGGTACCCACTTCTGGACAGGTCCCTTTGGGCTACCAACTTGTAGCCTTTATGCCACATTTCTGTGGGCTCAGCTGCCTGCCAACATTCAAAACACTCCCTGTCTTTCATTCTACAGGGAAGACATTTGCTCAGTACTATTCAAGTAATTTGATTTTATAGACTACCTTGTGAAGTCTGAGAGAAGGACATTATATGAATTCATCTGGGACAGTTGGAAATGGTGTGAGCATTGGATTTAAACAAGGCTCCTCATGGCCACCAGGACGTGGCACTGCCATATTGCCCACTGGACTCTGGAAAAACACAAGGTGAAATTCACTCTGCTGCATGTATCAACTGTGATCCACACGTTTTAACCAATCCAGTGCCTTCCAATGCTGCGCAGTGGTTGTCGTGCTGTACGCTAGGGCCACATGGCACCTCATGGAAACAGCTGGAAGTGATTCAGAATCTGCTGCTCCTAAAGCATGAGGCTTCGGCACCCCCAAAGAGGCCCAGGCTACTTGAGCTGAAGGATGCTCTCCATTATTAGTTGGCAGCAGGCTCGTCAAAACCACAACATTAATTTTCAAAAGAAATGACCATTTTTCATGTCAGCTGAAATTTTTCCATGGAATAGTTTTATTTTTCAATGAAAGTTCAAAATAGAAATTTGTTTCCTTTTGGTTTTCAGTTTTAGGTTTGGGTTCCCCCCCACCCTTTCCCTTTTACATCCTTCTACTAAAGAGGGGAGGGGAGAAGAGAAAGTGGGTTTTCCACCCTCACTGTGAAAAATGAAGATAAAATATTGCTCTTTGGGTTTTTGAAAACTAAAACGAAACAAATTTTCAACTCAGAACAAAACAAAAAATTAGCTTTTTTGGGGCAAAACATTTCAAACAAAACACAAGTGTTTCTTTCAGGCTGAAAAGCCTTTCTTTCCCAGAAATGCATTTTGATTCACTGCAAGCATGACTATGACACACAGTGAAGTAGTTCTTATTCCATTCAGTAGGGAGCAGCAGTGCACAGTCAGTACATTACAATACTGAAGGATGAACAAACACTGAAAGAATTTTTTTTTTAAATATTGAGTTTACCTGACATCAGCTTTGTCATTTATCTTTTGAAACAAGGCTGCTTTGATTTGCAATTTGGCTTATAGTCAGTTTCATCATCCGTTTTTCATGCACAGCCCTAATGCTGTTGTGTTTGGGTTTCCTGGTTTGCATGGGGGAACATTTATAGGAAATTAATATAAAAACATTTTAACTGAATTTATGTAAATATTCAAATCATTTATTGCTGCAAGACATCACTGAAGCCAAGAGGTTGGCAGGACTGAAAAACTGACTGGATATTTATCTGAATAAGATGATGAGCCAGAATTACAATAATATATATTTTTAAAAACAAAAACAAAAAGCTTGGGAAGTAATACAAACCCTCATCCTTCAGGGCATGAACCAAAACATCTAACAACTAGGAATCAGAAAGGAACTTGCCCTGGGGTCAGGTTATCCCATAACTGACAGTGTAGGGTTCTGGCCACCGTTACAGACAGGATGCTGGCCCAGAAGGTGCACTGTACAGTGCTAGGCACTATATTCCACCCAAACCACTTCTATTCACAGGATAGTTTGAAAGATAACTTTTCTTACAAAACTTGCATTTGGGGCCAAAGGTGAGCTGAATTCCCTGCCACCAAATAACATTTTAAGTTACACTGACGTTTTTTGAGTCTCCTGTCTTGTATGGAAAATGACTTTGGGGGATGAATTAGGCAAATTAGAAGGTAATTCCCAGTTCTAATTTCCATGGACCACATTCACTGATTGGTGTAACTGCAAATGGACCAGTTTCACTGATAAAACTCCCCATGGTTTCAATGGGAGCTGCACAATAGGAACTGACCCACAAACTTCAATGGTGTTGAACATCACACTACATCACACATTTGGCACTAAAATGCTGCAACTCAGCAGGACTGGACGGAGCCCAAAGATATAAACTTTAAGCCCAAAGATCCAACTTTAGTCCAGAAGATGACATGAGAATAAATTCTTCCCTTTCAATAGTATCATTTATCCAAGGATCTCAAAAATGCTACATAGACATTAGCAAACTGAGCTTCACAACACCTGCTGCTCTAGAGAAGCACTATTATTCCCATTTTATAAATGGAATAACCGAGGCACATAGCAGTTAAGAGATTTGCCCAAGGTCACACAGCAAGTCAGTAACAGAGCTGCAAACAGCCCCGATGCCCAGCTCATTGCTTTAACTACTGGACAACACCCAGGAAATATAGATAATTGGCTATCAAACAGGTAGTTCCTGATGAGTCCAGGTTTGGTTATTGGGGAGAACTGGGAAAAGGGGAGCAGGGAACGTCGCTGGAAGATGTTTCATTTGAGATTTTGGCATTTGGCAGAGATGGCCCGTAAAACACAATCTAAAAATAAAGGTAGCAATAAAACCTCTTGCTCATGAATTACTCTGTAAGCCATTACTGCCTAAACCCCCATAACATTAATGGTGGTGATTATAAGTACAGTAACAGAATTGTGAATCTAATTACTGTGCAGTTATTAAGCAGAACAGAATGGGCATGCTTTCTTTTAAAGGACTCAGAGCCAGTGCATAATAATAAGCACATGGGGGGGTTAATCAGAGCTGCCAGTTTTAACCTCAGACTCTCCTGAGTGTGGGATAGGGGATGGGGAACTCAGTACTACAATGATCCCAGGAGGGCGTGTAATGGAGCACCCAGGCTTGAGCTAATGTACCACAATGCAGGAAGCAAAGCTCAAATCAACTCAAGAATTAGAAGCAGGTCAAGCGATTCAAATGATCTATTACTCACAGCTTGCTGCTCTGCTGTCCAGCAGAAAAACAAATTCAACCACAATAGCTAAACAGCTACAACTTATTCCAATGGGCCAGAAGTCTATGATGTTGAACCAGCGGCCCAAGATCAATGGTGAGGTTTTCCATCATCATCTCTATAAACCTGAACACTCACCTCAGACAACTGGTAGCACAACAAGGCACACACACTTACTTATAATGGCCCTGATTCAGCGAAGCACATGCTTGAGTCTACACATATTCACCAAAGCACTTAAGCCAATGTTTAAAGTAAGTGCTGTGCTGATATGGGGCCTAGCAAGTAGTACCTTAAGCCATGCGTAAGCCCACTGATTTCACTGAAACTGCTTCCAGAGTAATTTTACCACGCAGCATGAAGAAGGGAACCCTGGCCCTGAGCAAAATGATAAGACATGGCACCGACACATTTAACTAACAGGATAATACTGTGACGATGCTAATCACCACTACTCTCTCCTTGGCTTTCTGTTATAGCCCCTCAACTATCTATGCTGCCTATTTCGATTTGATGCTCCTCAGGGCAGGGATCACATCTACCATCTTGCCCAAAGGTGGCCTGGGCACTGTATAAAGAGTTGTCATAATTCTTTGCCCTTTGCCATTGGAAACCCAGGTGCACAACCTCTCTCGCATCCCAAATAAAACCGCTGTGGGGATCTCTACCTGCTTGCTCTCGTATTGTCCACATCACAAAACACACAGAGCTGGCCATGAATTTGTAGACGTGGCTCAGGAGGGGTCCCATGCTGGATTAGCAGAGTTTTCTGTAGGGCAAGACTGAGAAACACCAGCTGAGTTGTGGAAAGGAGCCCAAGACTGGAATAGCAGGAGAGGCTGTTGGCCAGGGATGAAGTGGATCAGATCTGTGCTGGGAGACCAGGACTGGAGAAGTAGGGTGGATTGCAGGACAGAACTGAGATACTATGTCTGAACTGGGGAGAGGGACCCAGGCTCGAATAGCAGAGAGGCTGGGGGTTGAGGAGCAGCCCCAGAGCTGTATTGGGAGCCCAGAAGTAAAATATTAAGGGGTGCTGCAGGCAGCGACCGCGATGCATTGGGTATGTGGGGCCCCAACTCCCAGCCCTGTGCTGTGATGACTAGGATAGACAAGGTGGATTGGCAACTTCAATTCACCCGATTCTTTTATTATAAGAAAAAGGGGATATTCAATTAAATGTAAAGGTGACAAATTCAAAATTGATCTATGGAAACACCTGTTCATACATTGCACAATGCAATCTCATTGCCACAGGACACCACTGAGACCAAGAATTTAGCAGGATTCAAAAAGGATTAGTTGTGTATATGGATAAGAAGACTATCCAGATTTATAAAATATTTTTTTAAAAAGAAGAATTTTAGGAGGGATATCAACCCTTAAGCTTCAGGGCTTAAGCCAACCTCTAATTTACAGGGATCAGGAAGGAACTTTCCCAGGGGCCAGCTATCCCATAAATTGGCACTGCAGGGTTTCTTGAATCATCTCAGAAGCAGCTGGTACTGGCCACTGTTGGAGACAGGATGCTAGACTATATAGACCCCTCCTCTCACCCAGTCCGGCCATGCTTTATGTTTAGGCTTGGAAGATCTCGATTTTTCTCTGTAAATGTCAATAAATTTTGATTTCACTGTACACACGCAAACCAACAAAAAAGATTTCCATCAATAGTAATCAAAACATATAGATAGGCAAAGTCAGAAGTCTACATGGGAACTTAGAATCATAGAATATCAGGGTTGGAAGGGACCTCAGGAGGTCATCTAGTCCAACCCCCTGCTCAAAGCAGGACCAATCCCCAGTTTTTGCCCCAGATCCCTAAATGGCCCCCTCAAGGATTGAACTCACAACCCTGGGTTTAGCAGGCCAACGCTCAAACCACTGAGCTATCCCCCCCTCCCCCATATCCTTAAATCAAACATATCAGAGTTTGATTTAAGGATATTTACTTGGTATATTTTGACATGAGATGGACCACTCTACCTGTTCCTATAATTTTACTGAGAGTAAGAAATAACATATACAGGAATACAGACTTTAGATAAATGTTAAAATATTTTGTGTTTTAAATGAGTTTCATTTTGATGGGGTTTAAAGTAACTTTTCTCTATCAAGATGAAAATTCCAGAAGATACATTGTTTGATTTATAGCCCACTTCCAAATAGAAAGATTACTGTAAATTGTCTTGTTTGGGAAAAGAACAATGACTTTAATCATAAGTTGTTCAACTTATTTTTAATGTTGCTGATGGGTGAATGTTGAGTACTGGTTGCTGGTAAAAACCTTAGCAATCAGCTATATTTATGAGATTTTTTTATGTCAGACTTTCTGAAACTGATGACAGTGCTTCTGAATCTCCAAGACCTGGACATCTTGGGGAAGAGGAGTCAAGACGGGAACCAACAGGTTTTGCCAGCCTCTCACCAATCTCCCAGCACCTGAAGGTTTGTTAGCAAGGACTGCTGTTCTAGCACAATAGTACTGTCTGGCTCCTTGCCTATAGTTCCAGCTCCTACCCCATGAGAGTCCAGAAGACTTCTAGCTGAAGAGTTCACAAATCCCCATTTATCTTCAGTATCTTTCCTTTTTTCCACTGCTGTCCTTTGTTTTTATTAGCTGGGAGTCACCCCAGTCTGTTTAGATCAGTGGTTCTCAAACTTTTGTATTGGTGACCCCTTTCACATAGCAAGCCTCTAAGTGTGACACCCCCCCCCCCTTATAAATTAAAAAACACTTTTTTTATATAGATATTTAACACTATTATAAATGCTGGAGGTGAAGCGGGCTTAGGGGTGGAGCCTGACAGCTCGCAACCCCCCACATAAAACCTTGCGACCCGCTAAGGGGACATGACCCCCAGTTTGAGAACCTCTGGTTTAGATTCTCTAAGGTTACGGTGTGGAAGTGTAGCAATGCACATGCATGGGTGTGTGAGCACTCCTGAAGTCCACACAGGGAAGGCCCCAGGAGAAGTTCCCTGGCCAAAATGGTCCTAGATATAAGAACTATTAGTTTCAGTCAGTTCTGTGTTCTATGTTTAAAAGTCCTCAGGGATTTGATATTGTCACCTGGAATTTCTGGTAAACAAGAGTTGTCAAAGTGATGCTATTCTGTTCAGGTCTGTATTGCTAATAACTCTCTTGGTGGGAGGAAAGGGTTAGCCACAGCACAGGAATAGAACTCCAAGAAGGCAGCTCTATAACTGGCTCTGAGACGGTGGTTCAGACATGAGAGAATAATTTGGTTTCAGTATTAAGACATTTAATCAGCTCCAAGTTATAGGATTTGATTGACATTGATCAAATTCTTTTGCTGGGATTTATAACCAAACTGACAGCCATTTTCTTCGAATCCTCTTTAAAAATCTATAAGGGTTGGTTATTTTGAGTATTAATGTGATGGTTTAACTTATTTCCTGATGAGAGTAACTCATTGATTTGACCTTGATTTGATGGCTGTTGGCCTTTATTCTTGGTTCAAAGTAAGTAACAACAACATTTTAGCTCTGGTGAAATGTTTTCTTGATTTTAATTTAATGAGTTTTAATTAAATTTATAAATTGATACCAAGAAACATTTCTTGCAATAAGCAAGTGGGTCAAGAGTCTTTAAGGACCTGGGTGGATACCAGCCAGACAAGCTAAAAGCTTGACTAGCTCCCCCTAATTAGACTTTGGTTCTCACAACCATTTTATTCACTTTGCGGTGGGGGAAGCGGATAGAGCAGTGAACTGGGACTCAGGAGACCTAGATTCTATTCCTAGCTTTGCCACTAGCCCACGGATGACCTTGGGCAAGATGACCTCTTCATCTCTGTGCCTCAGTTTTCCCATTTGTAAAATGGGACCTCCTTTGTAGAGCGCACTGAGATCTGTGGATGAAAAGTGCAATTGTCATTATACAGATTTACCCATGCCAGGGTCACTGCTGATATCTTGCATTGAATTATTGAGACTGACCTCCAGCTAATATCCAGCCCCTGAAAACTTGCTGTGCCTTTCCTTGTGAGACAAGTCTTGCACAGACCCAAGAGAGCAGGAGACGTATAGAGACTAAACCAAATAGTTCCTGCTGAGCCAACAACCCGCTGCTGGCTGAATGTGTGCTGCTGGCATGGCTCTGCCAGTGGTGCTTGGGCCTCTCACTCTGTCACGATGCCAGGGCCTCTGCAAGTCACCAGTGGGGAGCAGGAGAGATCCATGGAGGAAACAGGGGGGCAACAGCCTTTCCCCAACCTCCCCACGTTAAGAAGTGGCACTGAGTTCTCTGCCTCCCCCACCAGTGGGCAAACGAGACCAGAGAATCCTTCCTTCCATGGTGTTGGGTTCCAGACTCCTCAGCAGTTTCATGGATAGCAGACAATCCCAGGAGCCACTGCCCACCTAAAGACATTGGGGACTATGAGCCAATCAGCAGGAGATGGGAGCTGCACCCAGAGCTCCACATTTCTCAGTTTTATCTCCCAGATGGATCTGCATTATGTTCTCAGTTATAGACATGGAGATGAAATTCCTCACTTCCCACACAGCCTTGCCATTTGACTCAGTGGCTGGGAGAGGCAGAGGGACCTCTGCAGGGCCTGTTTCCCTGCTCAGCAATCAATCAGAGCCATTTGAACATCTCTCCCACACACGCCTTTCCCTACTGTGCATGTCAGCTGGAAAACATCCTGCTAACTCCGTGTGCGAGCTCCTGCATCTGAGGGGTCAGTACTTATTTTTAATTATTGAAACCAGACAGAAAAGGAGTCCTCCTCTATTTTAAAAATCATTAATAACCCGATTCTAATATAATATTTAAAAGGAAAAAGCATGAAACCTTGCAGCTCTTTGGCTGTAACGTGAGAATAGTGAGAAACCTGCTTCTCTCCTATTGTGAGCAGAGGAGCAGGTTAACAGCACTTTGCATTTATCTGGTGCCTTCATCCTGAAGGATCCCAGAGCTGCGTTACAGACCTTGGCCAAGCATTTTCCAAAAGAGACTAGTGATTGTGGGTGGCCAACCTGGGACCCCTTAGAATAGGCCTGATTTTCAAAAGGCAGGCGACTCAGCACTCTGAAAACTCAGACCCTTTTGAGGGGTGTCAGGTTGGTCACTGAAAAACTGAGGCACCCAAAATCAAGTCACTTCTGAAAGTGTTGGGCTTTTTATGCCGGTACCACTGAAATGTGGCTGCATCTGGGGACAATGGGAGCGTTGTTAACACCACACTCAACAGATCAAGGCGGGAAACAAAGAGGAAGGCCATATCCAACGGAAAATGCAGGTGGAATTCTGGGAGGCAGGGTATCTCCAAAATGAGCATATTGTCAATCCTTAACAACTAGAACCCTTGGGTTAAAACTGCTGCATCCTACCATGCAGAGAGAGCCACAGGGACTTGAATGCCCACCCCCATGTCTGAGCAAGACCAGTTCCCGCATCAAAGCGCCTCCTGATACCATGCTGGGGGCATATAGTATCAGCACCACTTCAGAGGAACCAGCGCTGCCCCCTGAGTCACAAACACCAATTCCTGCAGTCTGGCTGGGATTGAGGAACAGGCTGAAGTCAGGAGAACAGCAGAATACCCAGCTGGCAGGTGGGCACCAGGCAATGCCAACCAGAGCTTATGGCCAGAGGAGATCCCTGGCTCATACTCCTGTTGGATGGTTTCTTTAAAGGTATGGCTCAGCTTCCAAGCCCTGTTTAGTCTGGGGGTAGAGGAGGGCTAGAGGGAGCCAGGAGGTGACCTCTGTACAAGTCACTAATGGGACCAAGGGATTAGCATTGATTTTTTTAAACGGCACAGTGAAGGGAGGGGGTTAAAAAAAAGCGCAACATCCAACAATAACTCAGCAACTTACAGCGCGATCAATCCCTGCTCACAGTCCCATATCCATTAGTGCAGCCATAAACCCACCCACCCATCCGCTTGGAAACAAGGGGTCGTGGTGTCATTTTAAATTGCCTGCCTTGTCTCTCCTCACCCCTCTTTCTCCATGGTGGTTGTGACAGACCCCACCTCCCTAGGAGCCAGTGGGGTTCCAATACACAGGAAGTCCATGCCCCCTGCACACCAAGAAGCCATGCTCCACAGAATGGCCCCCTTCAACCTTGGCAGCAAGGGGGACCAGGCCAGGCTGTTTCCCCCACCCCACCTGACAGGGCTACACCAGCAGCTATTATTACAGTCCCAAGCAGAGTGGCTCCTTTGCCATTCTGGGGCCTGAAAAAAAGGGGACTCCTTCTCCCCCACCCCACATGAACCTCCTTGTGCCCAGCTATTCAGGCTTGGTTCAGGGAGAGAAAATCTGGGTCCTAGTCAAACTCTAGGTCGGAGTGCCTGGCACTGGATGTACTAGCTATGCAGCTCAACCAGCTTTCAGAGAGAGACTGACCATTTTCAACTGAAGCGTCTACCCCAGTCCTACACCTGGCTGTCACACTGCTTCCTTCCACGGCCCTAGGGCCCTACCAAATTCACGGTCCATTTTGGTCAATTTCACAGTCATAGGAATTTAAAAATCATAAATTTCATTGTTTCAGCGATTTAAATCTGAAGTTTCATGGTGTTGTAACTGTAGGGGTCCTGACCCAAAAAGGAGTTGGATGGGGGGAGGGGGGGGTTGCAAGAGGTTATTGTAGGCAGGGTTGTGGTACTGCTACCCTTACTTCTGCGCTGCCGCTGGTAACGGCGCTGCCTTCAGAGCTGGGCGCCTGGAGAGCGGTGGCTGCTGGCCGGGAACCAACTCTGAAGGCAGATCTGCTGCCAGCAGCAGCACAGAAGTCAGGATGGCCTGGTATGGCCTGGCCACCCTGACTTTTGCACTGCTGTTGGCAGGGTGCTGCCTTCAAAGCTGGGTGCCTGACCAACAGCCGCCGCTCTCCGGCCGCCCAGCTCTGAAGGCAACACAGAAGTAAGGGTGGCAATACCGCGACCCCTCTAAAATAACCATGTGACCCCCACCCCGCAACTCCCATTTGGGTCAGGACTCCCAATTTGAGAAACTCTGGTCTCCCCCGTGAAATCTGTATAGTATCAGGTAAAAGCACACAAAAGACCAGATTTCACAGTCCATGACATGTTTTTCATGGCCGTGAATTTGGTAGGTCCCTACATGGCCCTGGACAAATCACTTTGATTCCCTGTACCTCGGCTTCTTTTATCTTGATTATGGTATACAAGTACCTTCTCAGGGACAAAATACTGGGTCCTAAGTGGCTTTTTAATTGAGAGGGAAAAGGCATAACAAAGAACCAAAGGCTGGAAGTTAAAGCCAGACGAATTCAGGTTAGAAATAGGGCACACATTTTTAACAGTGAGGGTGGTTAACTATTGGAACAAACTACCAAGGGAAGTGGGAGATTCTCCATCTATTGATATCTTCAGAACAAGAACATACTTCTGGAAGGTATGCTTTAGCCAAATACAAATTATTGGGTTCAATGCAGGGGTAACTGGATGAAATTCTATGGCCTGTGATGTACAGGAGGTCAGACTAGAATAATCTGATTTTCCCTTCTAACCTTGAAATCTATGAATCTGCAAAATGAAGAGACTAATTAGCTACCTTGGGGACCAGGATTGTGAGGCTCAAATAGTTAGTGAGCCCGATTCAGCAGTTGTACAGATACTAATGCAAACTGGTCCTGAAACGGATGTCAGTGACAGAGCAATAAGACTTGTACCAAGCTGGTTTTTGCAACAAAGACGCACGATGAGGGTAATTTACCCCAAACTGATACTGACTGAGAACCAACCTCAGCCCTGATGCACAAAGTGCAGCTCTGTCCTTTGGGTCCAGGGTTCTCTCTAGGATTCTGTCCAGGAGGACAAGGAAAGGTAAGCCTGAGAGAAGGCGGGAGACAGAGTTAAGCCAACATTTCCACTGTCTGAGCTGCGAAAGCCAGTGAGCACATGCACCATCCAGCACCCCAACCCAGAAGCAACGTGAGCTCTAACCAGGAGCATGACAACTCGCCTATCCCTGCTCATGGCTATACAACCCCATTCACTGTACCCAACCACAGCTCCCACCTCCAACAACATCCTTTTTACAAGTCGTGTGCAGAGCCCACCCTGTGATTAAGTTTAGAGGCAGATAGAATGATGGGAGATGGT